GGGGAGGGGAGTTTCGGCTTCGCACCCGCGCCCCCCTTCAAATAATTCTGGATCCGCCCCTGCATTTTATTGTATTTAATTTCATTGATGTGCACATATTGACGTATTTCTTTAACTGTGACTTAAATCTTCAAAAAGAAATCTCCCTTATTTTCAGATATATACGCTAGCTTGGGGAGTCACGTTGCGGCAGTGCCGCTATTATCTTGCCAAGTTCCTGCTATTAGCAGTAACCCTATAATTTGACCAATCAAAACCACATATTTCATCAGCCCGAACCTAACCCAGATATGCAGATGAGAAAGTGTGGAAAGGAACGACTGTCAGTAGTTATTTCAAATATTGTACGCACTATAGAGATCTAAGAAGAACAGATCAAAATTTACCGATTTTTCGGTAAGATTTTGATCGGAATGAGCAGTAAAGGTAGTGGTGAATCTGAGAAGCGTTCTCAGCATGACAGCGGGGATGAAACAGAAGAGGACGAAAGCGATGTTTTAGAAGAGAGTCCATGTGGCAGATGGCAAAAGAGAAGAGAGGAGGTAGGCATAAGTTTGGCATTTGTGTTAGGTGAGATTGTAGATCTGTGCAATTTCTTTTTCATGGAATAGAGTGGGTTTTGAGGGTCGGTCATATTTATCCGATTATAGTTACAATCATGCAACAAATTGAAATATTTTATGGGCAGATAAATCATAGCTCGCTTCACACCTCTTACTCTTGACTTTAAGTTGGGAATTTCTGATAAATTCGGCTCTCTATTTTAAATCTTTGTATTGCCACTCAGTTATAAGAGTGGTCGGTTTTATTTTTTAGAATAACACCTGGGACGTTTGCCTTATCATATGTTATTAATTTTCATACTTGTAAGTTTCAAAATATAGTTTGGTTATATCCTGTTTTAGCCAGTATTTTGGAAATATGTGTTCACATGAAGTAAAATTTGAAAACTTGACATTAAGTGAGGAAAACACCCACTGAAGCCTCACAGGTTTCACTTAGATGTACTGATTTTCCCGAGTTTGCCCTACTGCCCATTTTCTTTAACATCTTGATTAGATGTTTATCAGTCATAACATAGGTTGATCTGCATTTTGGACATCCTTGATTTAAGACTTGACTACCTCACTAATTTCCCCAAAGCTTAAAATATGTGTCAGTTTTCTCTTTTGTCATTTTAACATTTTTATGCAAATCAATTGTATTATAATATTTAGAAACAATCATTTCAGTTTTGTTTGACACAGTTTTGAATACAATTTTTGAATGGTAAATGAAAGATATATTATGATCTAAACCTTCTGTAGACAAGGGTGAACATTTGTAATCAGTATTTCTGTTCCACCAATATTAACAGAGTTTAATCATTAAAAGCCATAAACTGATAATGCCAGCATGTATAATCCACCTGTTAAGCATTTACTTGTTTAATATCTGATGTTGAGTGATGTCGAAATACATATGTTTAGGTGTCAGACAATGCTTGAATATTTTTTAATCCTGTCTGACAAACAATCATGATTGATTTTCTGTATTTTGAAAAAGATAGAATTGAAGAATAGATTTGCTTTATGAAAGTAAGTTGCCTGAGTTATTTCGGTTTATAATGTGAACCTGAGGTCATGTTTACTAAGCCAATCTTAGTAACATGTCTAGGCCTATATCTAGTATGTTAGGCCTTTGGTGCCTCTTTTCTTGGCCCAACTTTATTGTAGACATTGATTGTCAGAGGCACCAGTGATTATAAGTTCTCTTCTGTCAGATAGCCACAATATAAAATACATTTATGAATCATATACTAGTATATATCTATATGAATATCATATATTCCTAACATAATACCCTGTTCATATTGCTGTCTCTTCTTTCATTAGAATACAAACATAGAGCTAGAATTTTTTTTTTAATTTGAAGTCATAAAAGAAAACCTTTTGAATAAGTGAAGTATAAAACTTTCTACATGAGGAATATCATAACACCAAGTGCAAGAGATTATAAACCTGGTTTGAAAGATATTATTATTAGCCTGCTGGAATGCAGCCCTCTTTAATCAGGCTATCAAGCTGGCATAGTGTGATTTTCTACATGCCTTGATGCATGTACTTTTGGTCACCTTTTGTCTAGTGTATATGATCATTTTGATACTAGGTCCATTTTATTATACAATAATAATAATAGTAATCGCTATTTTTCACAACAAAGAAAAAAAAACCATTTTGATTTTTTAATTGAGTCAAATTGCACATGGTAGCTTCAGATAAGTTAAATTGAATACAGAGCTATATTTCTTACTAGGATTTAATTTAATGTGTAGTTGGTGTGAAATATGATTCAAGTAAAATCTTTTCGTGGTGGTATACATCCAATTTCTTGTAGCATGTTTTCCATTTACAGGAAAGGATGGAACAGCTCTGTAGATCTCACTGAATGTAGATTAAGTTTTATATACTGGTTTCATGTCCAGTTGTATGGTAATTACTGACCTGGGTTTTTGCCAAGATCAACATTGGCTTTGTTTTAGGCACTGAAATACCATAGTATTATTTACATCTATATTAATACAGTATGCACAGCCCTGTCTGCAGAGAAGAAACAGTTTCAAAGACCTGTGATAATATCCAGATGAATGTTAAGTAAAAACAAGAAAAATGTTTTGCTTATAAACAACACATTATTGTAATTTTGAAAGGCGGCTATGATATTTGCAGATTGATATATCTTGCTAAGCATTCTTGGGAGTTATTGGATTTTACCACTGAAGTAATAAACTTCTTCCAGTACACAGCCAATTGCTGATAACCTATTTTCATGTATATTTTTTTAGTGTCCTATCTTGTACCATGTTGCTTGTATGTAAATAAAGATGATTTAACCTATCACAGAATTTTATGTGATGTAAGCTATTTTCTACAATACTTCAAAGTAGGTTTGGTTTCTCCTTAAATCAAACGTAAGAAATATAAAAAAAACTTTATAAATTGAAATGATTTCTGGCAGTATTTGGAGGGTATAAGTATAACAAAATATCATTACATATTACCTTTTAACTCTGTACTGTATGTTGTTGAAGTCCGAATTGTATCACCTGACAGATGGAAGATATTCCAACCTAAGATGACCAGAACTGGACTGTGAAATATGAATATTAAAGGACATATTTTTTCTAAGTTCTGGCTAGTTTTATCAAGGGTTATCTTGGCAGTGAAAAATATCTTTTTTGTCTGTCTTCACAAGAGGAAGCACATTGTCAGAACAACTCAGCAGAAAAAAATCACTGATACAATCTCCTGTATAGGTTTGACCAGCTCATAGGTATGCATCTCCAAACTGCACTTCTTGGGCTACTTGTTACACGGGCTGTTATGGACAGTGGTGAAGGTTCTTGTGAATAATAGCAACATGTGTGCTCATGATTTATTTGATCTTTGTAAGACAGTGCAAGTTATTGTTGTTTTGCCAGAAGCATATAAACATTTACAATTTTATGAACTGTTTGGTTTGTTGCACTCACAATCTGGAGAAAAGAATGTATTGCAGAATGCTCTGGACCAGTGCAAAATATAGCATTTTGAATTAAGTGCATCTGTATGCAATAGAGAAATCAATGGAATGTCTGGAAGTTAGGGTCTTTAAAAATAGATGTGATGCAAAAAGTTCAGAGGTACATTTCATATTTACAGGATTGTTTATTATTTTATTGTAAATTTGACATGACAGTGTGGAAAACAGTTAAGTTTCTTCACAGGAACTGCTGTTGTATTGTTTCATACATAAAACAGTCCAGTTCTAAAAATCATTATCATATGGCCGCCTTTGTTCTTCATTATGGACACACTGACTATTTTGGCCAAGCAAATTTGAATTACTGGAACAACATTACAGAAAGTAATACTATTAGCTTTATATTATGAATTTGTTTTTTTTTTTCTTGCATTGGTAATTTTGTGTTACATATCTTCACTAGAAATATTTTTGCAAGGTTTTCAAAGGCAAATAATAATGTAATACGTTTTGAAAGTTGATTAAATGGAAAACTCTTCTCCTTGAATTACCAGGTACAACAGAGAGATGTACCAGGCATTGATAATGCCTTTCTTGCCATGGATACAGAGGAGGGAGTGGAAGTTGTATGGAACGAAGTAGAATTCTCAGAAAAGAAAAACTTCAAAAATCAGCAGGTTTGTATATTGCTTTATAATAACTAAAATAGAAAGATATGTAATTGTTTAGATATGTTTTTGTAGCAGTCTCAAGCTTGAGCTAGCTTTCAGTAAATTTGTCGACTTTCTACAAAATTTTATTTTATGTTATTTGTTAATTTTTAACATATAGTAATACAAATTTAATGTGGATTATCTTTACTGTAGTGCCTTATTCTAAGATTATTTTGATCTAAAAAATATTGAAATTAACTTAATTTTAAAAGGTGTGCAGTTTAAATTGGGGAGAAATATCAGGAGTTTTTTTGCAACTGAAGAAGGTTATTTCATATTTAATTGCATTAATTTTTAGGAGAAGATCAAGCAAGTGTTTGACAACCTTATTCAACTTGAGCATGCAAATATTGTCAAGTTCCATAAATATTGGACTGACACAAAGACTGACAAACCAAGAGTATGTATATACTGGTATTGTCTCTGTTATGTCATAAGTTTTACTTTTTGTTTTATTTTTGTTTAATTTTTTTTGTCATATTTTGTCATATGATGCAATAAGTTTTCTTATTGTATGGATAAAGATGAACACATAAAATGAGATGCATTTGCTACAGTGGTAGTACACGTTATGAACTTGCAGCAGTAACCTAGAAATAGCTCTCAGACACGACTATCTGCAGGCATTAGTTCTTGTGGTGGTATGCTTCCACATTGCTAATGAAGCTGATAATTATGTGTTGTGTTGAGGTTTCTCTGCCACTTTATCCACAGTTATCACCCCTCTGCATAGAAACCATTGATCATTAAAATAGAGCAGGAAACTGAATTGTCTGTGATATGCAGAGATGGTATATTGGCACTGTAGTTTAATATTTGTATCTGTTATAAATAATAAGAAAAATGTCTAATGCATGTTCATATTCAGTTTTCAAGGATAATGATAAGTTAGATGTGGATGCTTAAATAATTTAAGTAGGCTGTCTAATGCTAGCACTCCAGTTGTCGTTCTTTACATAATTCAACCACCAGGTTTATAAATATGCTATCTGTTGGTAAAATGTCATGTAGTGACATATATATGGAGAGCAAGAAAATTCTTTAAGCTTGTTATCAAAATCCATAGAATACATTTGAATAGGAATTGATGCAAGTTTGATAGTAGTTATTCAGAGGGTAACATACTATAAATTTTTAATTTCAGGTCATATTCATAACAGAATATATGTCTTCTGGTTCCCTTAAACAGTTTCTTAAAAGAACAAAGAAAAATAACAGGACAATAAAAGCCTGGAAAAGATGGTGCACACAAATTTTGTCAGCATTAAGGTAAAGTTTGGGCAGGGTGTGTTTGTGTAAATATTGCTATTTCAGCAGGTAAACCTTAGTAGAACCGTAACGAAAAAAAATCGTGATTTATGTATCAAACATGTCATGGTTATGAAGTGACCAGCAATGTGATAGCAGAATATCAATATTCACTAAACTAGGCCATGTCTTTCCCTTTGACAGATTATTTTTTTATTTACAGCTACTTACACTCTTGTGACCCTCCAATCATTCATGGTAACCTGACCTGTGACACCATCTTTATTCAGCACAATGGCCTTATAAAGATTGGCTCAGGTAGGGGAAGAAACACCCTATCATGTTGAGAAAGTTGTTTTCCTTAAGTTGGTTGAATTTCCATTGAAGCTTGTAAAAAATCAATGAAAATTTCCAATAATAGCAACTGGAAAGAAATTAAACGCAAGTTGAAATTGACATAGTAATGATTGTGTGTTAAATTAAACACAGTGTTTTTTATTTTTAACAATTTGAAATTTGGTAAGAAAAATATTGCCTTAGAAATTTTTAGTGATTTCCTTTCTTAGTTACGTCTGTGAAAGTATATTAGTATGAAGTCATAGTCTGAGAATGCTATCAAGGAAACGGATGTATCTTCACACAGTACATGTGCAGTTTTAACATGGCAGGTGCACTGTCTTGGGAATATTTTTTAAAGCAAAGTTTCTGAAGAAAGTAAATAGATTGGGAGGGTTGTCAACACATGCCTTTAGAATTAAGCACTTTTTATTTGCCACTTTTTGTAAAAAAATAATGTTTAAACAAAATATTTATGATCATAATATTGACAAATGATGACATTTATTTTAGTTGCTCCTGATGCAATTCACAACCATGTGAAAACCTGTAGAGAAGAACAGAAAAACATGCATTATATTGCTCCAGAGTATGGAAGTAAGTTACAAAAATATCGAAATTTGGGAGTTTCCTTTCTTCAGTGTATACCATTTGGTATAAGAAGCATATTATTAATTACTTTTCACTTTTTTGAGATAATTGCAGATTAGTTTGATATTCATGCGGGCCAAGGGGAAATAATGACATTTAATCATTTGGTAACAAGCAGATGAGATGTGCTGGTTATCAGATAGTAACCCAAATAGTTTATTTACTTGGTGACCAGGGATTTTTTTAATATACTGCATAATGTATGACCTCATATTTTGATCTCCCGTATTTATGAGTCAGATTCACTCACAGGTGCATAATATCTATTGCAGTACACAATGTGCTTTACTGACATCTATATAACATCAAGCATAATAATGCTACGTTCATTAGAAGTGGTGTTAAGTATGTATATGTGCACATTTTTTCTTTGTTGGACATAAATGATTTTAAGAATCTAGTATTCAAGGCTCAAATTTAATTAGCACTTAAATATTGTGCAAATTATGACAAGCAGATGTTTGTTAAAAAGAGGTGTTATTAAGCCATGTCATAAGAAAAGTATCAACGTGAAGTGTGCGCAGTCTCTGTGATAAATTTAGTGCTAAGTGTCAAATTTGGTCCAGATGATAAATGGTATTATTGGTTTCCCTTTAATATAGAAAGATTAATGTACGTAGTGCATACACTTACCATAAACTATAATTCAGTCCAAATAATAACAAAAATACTATGTTTCATTTTAAAAAAGGGGTGAGTGTGTAGTTTAAATGATTCAGAATTATCAATGCACCTATGCAGGTACTTTTCCTCTGAAAACCTGTGTTGTAAGTAATACATTGAGTATTTAACCGAGCAAAAGAAACCCAAGTGCAAATGCTTTTCATATTTTTGAGAGAGGGGGGAGGGGTTACAATCCACAGAGACTTGTGGGACTGTGCTACTAGTTAAATGGTGTTAGGGAGAAGAAAACATATATTGATTTCTCCCAAGTCAGCCTTTGTCTGATAATAAAAGTTCCCTGTCTGTGTTTTGACTGGAATGATATCACCTGTTGCAGCAGACCTTACTTCCATGCATATTGTTGGTTGGAATGGCCTTTAATGTGTAGAATGATATTTATGTACAATTAGTTATACTTAGTTTTGAGCAGTTAGGGTATAAACGGTTATGTTGTTGTGGTGTGCAATCTATTGCTTTTGTTTTCCACTCTAAATAGCACAATGTTTTATGCAGCAAAAATTAAATTCTTAGGCTGAAATATAGACCATCTTTATTTTAAGAGAACATTTTGAGATTTTTTATAGTGGATATTGTTATCCAGAAAATAGTGCTCTCCAGTGTTGATGAAAGTTGACCCAGGAAAACATTATACCTGCCCTATTTATGTCTATTTTAAATGTTCACCTTCTCTCTGATGATGTTGGCCTAGCATAGTTTTTGTTTTATTTTTTATTCTTAATCCTTTTGTATTATTCACCCACATCTAAATTACCCAGGCATTAGTAATATTGTTACTTAGAGTGGTTAAAAAGCATATAAACTTTGGCAGACTTTGCATCTTGGTGCTCAAAGAGTGTGTGTATTTTTTATGACTTTTTTTGATAAAGCTATAAATTACTTACATGCATACAAATATCCTTTTTTTTTGCAAGTCACAATTTTATCCTTTAGGCAAAAAGTAAAAATGTATACTTAGAAAGAAATTTGAGTGAACATTTAGCTGTACAAGTAAATGGAAAAAGTGCACATATTGCAATATTTACTATCAAGTATTTACTGCAGCCTGCATGGTGACATTTTAGCTACAGGAATAATCAATGGAAAATGACCTAAATTATTGTTCTTTACCTTATAATATATATGATATGCTTTACCATAAATTTATGGTAATATGCATTTTATATCAGCGATCTACATGAAAAAAGTTAACACTACACATTTCTATTTTATGAAGAGGAAAGATACCAATAAATCTCTTTAAACTTTAGGTACAATAAAATAAAGTTGTACTATTTTTCTTTCTTCTTAGAACTGAACTGCTTTCTGTATAAGAATTGAAAATAAAAGCAACAGAATCAGTAAATTTCCTTAGGCAAATTTTGTACAATCTGGTATTAAAAGCATTTGTGCATAATATTTTTGAAATTGTAAGAAAGTGGTTAAACTTGGAGTTTTTGTTTTAAGTCCTGTAAAGTGTCTTAATAAAGTTGAAGATATTAAATCAGATTGTTTCGCATTTTTTAACAAGTATTATCTTGAATTTCCAGCTAATGCACCAGTGACAGCAGCAGTAGATATATATTCTTTCGGGATGTGTGCATTACAGGTAAACTGTCCTTAAGGCAAATAAAACGTTGCTTTTAGATAATTGAACATTCAGTGAGACAGTCAGTTTTATCTAAACTCACATAAGAATGGTTTTGCCATTATGAAATTGAAACAGCAGCCAATTTTTCTCTATATGATTAATGCAAACTTTAACATTTACTTTATGCATTTGTGTATATACTTGTGTGGTGTGCACCCGTTTTTGCTTTAGAATTTGATAGTCTATCTGCTTTCAGTACAAGGTCTCCATTTTAAGTGACAGAATGACACTCTTTATCTATAATATATAAAATTGTGATAAGGACTTTGAATTAATTAATTTATTAATTTGCATTAATTAATTTTCAATATTAACACTTCTTTATCACTCTATCCTTATTCAGATGGCAGCAGTTCCTATCCAAGGGAATGGAGACACAGCCAATTATTCCAGAGAAGCAATCCAAAAGACAATAGAATCTTTAGAAAACCCATTGCAAAGGGTAAGTCATGTCAAGATTTATGAATGGAAATCTCATGATGCATGAGTGGAATGAAGTAGAATGGAGGAGCCAAATGAGAAAAAAGGAACATGCTGTTTTGAAACAGCCACTTTATATAAACCATAATGTTGAATAATTGTTTTTATAATGCTAATATTATTATGTCCTTTTTCGATTTTCAGTAAATCAGTAGACATAGCAGGTCAACAGGAGCTGCAGGGTTGTTTCATTTATTCATTATATGTTCAACCATTTTAGGACTTTATATCAAAGTGCTTACTTGAAAACCCAAAAGACAGGCCAAGCACCAGAGACCTTCTCTTCCATCCAATACTGGTTGATGTTTATTCTTTGAAATTGCTTGCTGCTCACGTTTGTTGTGCAAATTCTAGTAAGTATTTAGCGTATAGTTTTAGCAGTTTTAGTCACTTATTATTATTATTTTTATTTTTGTTCTTGTTTGTAGTATCTGTAATGCTTCTGCATAAATATAAGATTTGATTGTTATGTAATTCAGCTAAAGCTTGTTTTGAAAGAAGATAAAAGGCCAATGGGGGGGGGGGTATTGCAAAAACAATGAAAGTGGGGTAAAAATTTGTGAAGGGCAAAGTTTTTAAAAGAAGAGATCTCATTGGAAAAATTGATGCTGTGCTTCCTGTGGGCTGTAGGCCAGTTCCATTTTGTTGACATAATCCCTATATTTCTCTTAGGAATACTGTCTGAAACATGGATGGATGGGTACCGACCTCAGTTGGAACCCAATCATGTGGTGGCAGAGATATTCACAAAGAAAGAGCCAGTAGCATGGAGGTAAGTTTGTCCGATTAAAATACTGTTTGGTATAATATATACTATTTACTATGAGCTAAACTGAAGTACTGTTACAGGTCATTAAGTACTTTTGATTTTTGATTGTGTTATGTGGATGAAAGGTACATGTAATAATAGTATTTCTAGTTTATTGTGAAAAATTAAGCAGAGTAATGTGAAAAATTAGGTTTCCAAGTTGTAATATTATGAGTCATGTTTGCTAATTATTCCTGTTTATACTACAGCATGTGTGTTATGTATGCACATAGACAATGATTCATTCTCTATGAGAAAGAATTGTTTGCTTGTTGCAGTGTAGAAAATTTGATATGAGATATAAAGCATCAATCAAAATTCGCCAATGACACAATTTTGTAACTTTAGTAAATGTAAGAAAGTTGATCTATCCTGCCTCATTTTACCTACATATAATTTTGTGGCAGATTCTCAATGAAATGATTCCTGTATTAAAAGCATGAATTTATTCAAACATAAGAGATTTTAATTGATAATTAAGTATGCAGATTATGAGAAATATAATCACGTCATATCTAGATTATGTCGTCGATAAAGGTATCGAAATAAATTTATCAGTATTCCAATCTTTGTTGATTACCATTTAATGAAGGTAGTTTGTGTCAATTAAATAAATGACAATGGGAAAATGAGTTTTTTCATGTCTATGTCAATATCGTATGGACAAGCTGTCCTTTGAGCCATACTTTTATTGTAATTCCGTCATTGGCTCCCGAGTACAGCACATTGTTGGGGTGGTGTGCAAAGACGGTTGAGACCCATTGTGCTTTCAGTTTGAATATCACACATAACACAATACAAAATGGCACCACTTGAATGTTACAACTCTTAGTCATTGTACATTGCTATATTCCATTGTACTATTGTCTGTTTAAGTGGTACATTAGATTGAATGTTTTTGAACTTATCATCTTGACAGCGATTGGTGCAAAAAACAATTACACTAAATGTCTAACCTTGCTGGAATATTTGTTCAAGAGTGAACATAAAGGGCTGTATGATATTTAAAGATCTTTTTGTTTCAGTGTGTCGCAGCTTCCTAGTGAAGTAACAGAAATTGAGAAATTCCTCGAAGATGTCAGGTATGTTATTTCATGAGAGTATAACTTTCCTGATTTGTTTACTTAATATTATGTTTAGTCAACCCACTTTTTTTCTTTTTGGTAACTTTCACCTTTTCTTTAAGTTATTGTTATCTATATCTATAATAAGAACATTTATTGATGGTTTCCAATTTTTTTATTTATTTCATTTTAATTTTTAAGTTGAAGGATATCAGAAACCCCTACTCAATTTTATGAAATGCAGCAGCCTCTTATCTCAAGAGGCAGAGTAATGATCTATATACTAAATGTGTAAAACATATTTTTTCATGGGGAAAGTTGCAGTTATCTCTAAACTCATTTACTCTTACAGGAGTGGAATATATCCCTTGACAATTTTTGAAATGCAATACCCACCTATCTCAAGAGCCAGAGCAATATCTCCCGAGATGGCAGAGTCCGTCAAATCTGACACACCAGAGCCTGCTGATGTGGAGTCCCGTAAAGTGATCAGCATGTCTGCTGTGGTGAAAAAGATGGAGAATGGGGAAGGCCTGCATGTATGTTTAGTTAGTTAATAGAATGCTGAAAAGCTGCTATACAAGTGGTTCATTAAATATTATTAAATAAGAAAGTCATGTGCAAACCTTATCTATCATTTAGATAAGGAAGGACTGTTGAAATACTAGTTTAATGAGATATTATGGATACATTAGAAAGAAGGGAATACATTTTGAAAATCCTTATTTTTAGTTGGTTATTTTGGTAAATATTCTGTTAGAGTTTCACCAGGAATAGTATTGTCATTACTCCTGACATTTTGTTTTGGTAAAGATCTGCTTTTAATGTCAACATAAGGTCATTGTAAAGTTGGTTGTGTAACTGGACTTTGAAAATCTGCCATATATAATAACTATTCTACCATTTTTTTTATTTCCAGTTGACACTGCAGCTCCGTATGGATGACAAAATGAACAGGCAGTTAAATTGTGAATTTACAGATGAAGAAGAGACTCCATTTATTTTGGCTGAAGAACTAGTGCATTATGGATTTATAAATGAGGTTAGTGTTGAAACCAGTAGTAACAATCATTCCTCTTTAAGTTAGTAAAATGAAAGCATGCAATTAAATTCTGTGACCATGCACTTGCCACTTAGGCTGTGTAACTATTTTTTCCCTGTCTTATGAGTGTTATCGTTTGGGTAACATGAGGCTTTAAAGAAGTAGTATTCATAACTTTACATTCAATAAAAGTCTATCATCATCCAATCATCTCATGTCAATATCAAATCATTCAACTGCATAATTATATCTTGACATCCAGCAAAATTCTTTAATGTCAAATTACACAATTAAGATATTATGATTATTTTTGTAAGAATTAAATGAAAATCATTGTGCTCTACATGTGCAAGATCATGCTCATCTTGAGTACATCTTAACACTTATCACACTCCACCAATCTAATTCATCTTATCTATAATGGTAAGTGAGTTGCAAACAAGGGGGCAGTGTGAAATGTCTTTCAATTATGAAGATCTTTTAGTTGGATATTTTGGAATTCTTAGGCATCATTGTGGAGATTGAATTTTGGCATGAGGTTAATGACAGATAACTAGTGTTACAAATGTGAAAGCTCTAATTGTTTTTAGCCAGATTAGGTGATAAAGGTTTGATCTGAGACGCGCATTTATCTTTATAGTATTTAGCCATAGAATAAAGAGATGAAATGTTAAATAAGTGATTACTTCCATCCAACAGCCAATTTAAAGGTTTTATACAACTATCAAATATACTGAATCATATACTTTGGTGAATGTTTGAGAATTTGCTGTGCTATAGTTTGTTGCTTATTTATATAATATAATGTATGCATGTAATTATATATCATTTAGTTAAAATTGCATTGTTTTTCTCTTGATATCTCCTTGAAATATATACAAATAAATTATCTGATAACAGGAAGATCGCCATAGGATAGCCACCTTGATAGGGAACAGTGTGAAGAACTGCCACTCCAGCAGCTCCCCCCAGCCTCTCATCCCAGTTCTCCAGAACATGGCCCAAGTGGACTCCTCCTCCCCCTCATCAGCACCCCAGGGACATGTGCCACCAGTCAGCTAGCAAGCTATGTGGAGTCTGCTAATTTTACTACAACCAGTATTCACTAGAGATGATGTCTAGGTGTAATCATTATTATCATTACATGATATTGTATTGTGTAACATTACCTGATGCAGGAATGTGGACCAACATGGCCATCAGATGATCAAAAAGATCGAATGTGGGGTGTCTGATTAAGTACAACTTTTGTTTTTTTGTTGGAATTGTGAATTCTGCATCAATGCTTTTAATCAGCTTTCTGATTGAGCACATTTTTTCTTCTATTTCAAATCAACTATCTGGTAAAGCACAGTTGACATATATATTCCAGCATATGGTAGGTATTCATAGGTGTATGAAGTGTTGTCTTTAGTCAAGATCAAGTTGAAGATAAGACCTTTGACATTGGGGCACTTCTCCATGTTGTCTGATTAACCTTAGATCACCAGTGGCAGCAAAGACAATCCTATTTATATCTCCACCTATGCCTTTCTCCATCACTGGGCACAGTAAACTCATTTACATACAAGGGATATATTGCATTTGCTGCCACGAGTAGCTGAAAATGGTCACACTACCTTTGCCTTTAGTGTCATTTTTAACATGACAGTGACACTTAAATGGCATGAAATAGAAATGAACTGTGGCCTATTATTGAGTGAAAATCATGTGAAATAACATAAATGCCCCTAGATGCTTTTTCATAGCATTGAATTACATGTCAATTTTGATTTTGCTTAATGTAATGATTGGTGCAAGAGGACAGCTTTAACAAAGGCAGTGCTTAACTAGGCATTTTACCATCTTAACTTTTGAATAATTTGACTCCTTGGCTATAAATGTTCCACAAATTTATTACTATTTGCTCAATTCATGTAAGTGTATATATTCATCATAACATCCTCATTATACTAGGAAATAAGTAGTTCAGTTTCCTTGCTACATGTGTAAAATAAGTTACTTTATTATTTTCTGTCAAATGCTGGTCTGAGGATCTGAACAGATTGGCAGGTTGATTTGTGCAGTCTTAAGTATAAAAAGTTGATTAATGTCTAAGAGAAATTTTCTGTAGTATTAAAAGAGTTTTTATGCAGTGTAATTTAAAGATGCAGAGTGATAATGGAAAGTCCATTGCATCCATCACCAAAACTGCCTTCTGCTATGGCCTAAAAAGATGAGGAACTGGTGTCATGACAGACCAGGTGTTTATTGTCTCTGAAGGTGTAATATTTAATTGCAATTTTGAAAGCAAAGGAAGTTTAAAGAATTTTTGGCTATATATTTAGCAAAACAGTCTTAAGATAGCCTCATGTCATATGTCCTGTCCTATGACTTTAGTTTAATAGCAAGTGTGATAAGGCAAACCCCCATGCTTTTTGGAGACAAAGTCTGTATCTGTCATGGCATGGAGTGCATGTTTTCATGAGCTGTAATTAAGTGCATTGTGAGAGCTTTTGCAAAGATGGAATCTCCAGCTTTTTATCGAATTTTAAAATGTTTTATAAATTGTACTGTAGTTTTACTTAGTATTGAACTGTGTGAATAGCAGGAAAGCTGAAAGTGTGTTTGGTTGAAGTAGAATTGATATCAGATTCTACGGGACCAATGGATTAACAGAAAACTGTTTAAGTGATTTAAGTGTTGTTTTTGGCAGAAAAAACACATGCTGATAAATATAAAATAAATACTTGAGCTTTGTTTTGCCAGTACTGTGCAACTATTTTACTACAAATAAGTATGAATCTTTAAATTTGTGGTAGATTTTTCAGAATGAATCTGTCAGATTTGAAGAGGACATAATGGCTGAAAAGAAATCTAGTCATGTTTTTGTGCAATTGTTCAAAACTGATTTCATCCATTGCACTTCAACTTGTACTAAAAACCAACTGGAATTAAGTTGGCAAGTTCATTCTTTATTTATCTTGAAATTTGTGTTATTTTTCCTTGGTGAATTTAAAGCAGTGTGGTGATGCTCAATTCCCGCTATGGATTTTGCAAAAACTTGTGCTGGATAGTTAAGATGATCTGGTCAATATTATAATAAGACAAAAGAAATTGTAAAAGGATAATTAATTTTGGTTTAGCATTGGTTGTCTGAAATTGTAGTGAAGATAATCATGTTATTTTTTATGTACACACACATTGCATTATTATTATTATTTTGTAATACTATGCTCTTGAGCCAATATCAGGAAATAACTGTTAGATTTCATTATATCTATGTGAAATAACTGTAACTGTTACCATCAGAAGCTTTGGGGAAAAAAAGTAATTGAAGTATTTTCATCTATTATGGAATCTAACATTAAACATATTTTTTCCCAAAAAAGAATTTTTAGTGAAGTGTGTAAGATTATTATTATTATCATTATGCTCAATTTACGATGATTAACCTCTTCATAGCTATTGAAAGGCATGTAACAGTTTGAATTCTGTAATCATCATTAGAAGTATGTTTAAGACATAAAAAATGCTGGGAAACTTAAAATGCGTGACTACAAATAAGTCACTTTTGTTTAATTAAATACATATATATCGTCTTCGAAATTCGAGCTACCTGCTTGGATAACTATACAGTACCTGATGTCACTCAGGATAGTAATATTAATTTGTAAATAATATTAATAATCTTCATAATGGTAGCCCTGTTTAACATTGCTATATATTATAGATATGTATTAGTCTAAGAATGATGGCTTATGTCGCCTAACAATGCAATTGTCTGACTTTGGAACAAAAGAGAATGGGTGTGTTATGCAAGGGTTTCAGATTAGAATATGTGTACAGATATAAGAAAGTAGTGATTGAAGAAAAATGAACCATTTAAGAGAAATAGATGATATACGCATTTGTGTTTGGTTGTAGATTTGTAATCTTTTACACTGACAGCTGTCTGCATCTGCGGAACTCTATTATTACAATTCTGAACACTTGTTACCATGGTTCATTTCAGGTATGGAAAACAACAAATTTGCTTAGATAAATCAAACTACAATGTTTGGTACTGAAAGTGCAATAATATTAGAAATGATTACCCTCTGGAACGGCTACTGCCATAGCTAACAGTAGAAGCTTGATATAGTATCGTATGGGTGTGTATTATGACTACAAGCTAAAAGAGATTGATATTTATGACTGATAAGGTAAATCTATCAATTTTTGACCTCCTCCCCGTCAGTGTCTGAGTCTGGGAGACAAAAATTTTCTCACTTAGTGATCACTGTTACTTGATAACAAAATAGAAATCGGTTATCCATGTGGTGCATTTCAGAGCTATGTCATTTAAAGTTAAGTGTGTAATATATGCTGACCATTATAACTGGCAATGTCTCTGTCTACTGATGGCATATTACCCTCATAGTCAAGATATCTTAACTTGCAGATATACAAATATACAGCAGCATCGTTATAAACAGTTATTTTTAAGTTGAGTAATTATCAAAGCGAAAATTCGACTGTAAGCTAGACACTAGACGTTTTTTATTGAGTTCTTTAAACGCTGTTCCTTAATTTAAGAGACGACATGTCAAATATCCATTGCTCAAAGTTGGGACAGCACGTCACTTCAACAATTTTGGCTCACTTAGGTGAATTCTCAGCGTGTTTGGCCATGGTGCTGGCGATGGTCTCCAGTATTTGGTCGTGCGAGTAGCTCAAAGTATACCTGATTTTGTGGCATTTTGCTTAGGTGATTTGTGTGAATGCAAGTCTCCTATTATCTTACAAAAGAATTGATATACATGTACATTGCCAATGAAAAATAAAAATTGAAAATTCTTTTTATAATTTCGTTTTTTTTTTGTGTGTGTGTTTGTTTGTGTATACTCACGTGGTCACGTACGTTACATATTGGTTCTATTGTTTTAATTTAGATATTTTACGTTCAAAACTTTAAACCTTCAAAATTAAAATGGGGAGATGGAAGGGATAACTTTATTTTGGCGAGAAAATTGCCAGAACTATTTTCCTGGGATAAACCAATGGCAAATGAATCCATCCCATTATTTTAAAAATAATTTCCCTAAGAGAGTGTAGCCATCTTTGAAAGCCCACGTGGTAAGCATAGTTTTCAGAATAATTGCGATAACCGCTGTTTTGGTGGTAAAATGGAATCTATTATATTTCTATATGCTGTTTATAAAATATTTATTGTGGAATTTTGAACTTCATATGAAGAGTTGTTATGCTTTTAAATATGCAGTGTGAATACTTGTCAAAATCCTGATTAATGTTTCTTTTGTGTTGGCCTCCGTCGCGTTGGAGTGATGTTTTGTACCCTTTGATGAACCTTTTTTATTTATTTATTTTTTTTTTTTGGGGGGGGGGGGGGGGGGGGGGGNACAGATAACTAGTGTTACAAATGTTAAAGCTCTAATTGCTTTTAGCCAGATTAGGTGATAAAGGTTTGATCTGAGACGCGCATTTATCTTTATAGTATTTAGCCATAGAATAAAGAGATGAAATGTTAAATAAGTGATTACTTCCATCTAACAGCCAATTTAAAGGTTTTATACAACTATCAAATATACTGAATCATATACTTTGGTGAATGTTTGAGAATTTGCTGTGCTATAGTTTGTTGCTTATTTATATAATATAATGTATGCATGTAATTATATATCATTTAGTTAAAATTGCATTGTTTTTCTCTTGATATCTCCTTGAAATATATACAAATAAATTATCTGATAACAGGAAGATCGCCATAGGATAGCCACCTTGATAGGGAACAGTGTGAAGAACTGCCACTCCAGCAGCTCCCCCCAGCCTCTCATCCCAGTTCTCCAGAACATGGCCCAAGTGGACTCCTCCTCCCCCTCATCAGCACCCCAGGGACATGTGCCACCAGTCAGCTAGCAAGCTATGTGGAGTCTGCTAATTTTACTACAACCAGTATTCACTAGAGATGATGTCTAGGTGTGATCATTATTATCATTACATGATATTGTATTGTGTAACATAACCTGATGCAGGAATGTGGACCAACATGGCCATCAGATGATCAAAAAGATCGAATGTGGGGTGTCTGATTAAGTACAACTTTTGTTTTTTTGTTGGAATTGTGAATTCTGCATCAATGCTTTTAATCAGCTTTCTGATTGAGCACATTTTTTCTTCTATTTCAAATCAACTATCTGGTAAAGCACAGTTGACATATATATTCCAGCATATGGTAGGTATTCATAGATGTATGAAGTGTTGTCTTTAGTCAAGATCAAGTTGAAGATAAGACCTTTGACATTGGGGCACTTCTCCATGTTGTCTGATTTACCTTAGTTCACCAGTGGCAGCAAAGACAATCCTATTTATTTCTCCACCTATGCCTTTCTCCATCACTGGGCACAGTAAACTCATTTTACATACAAGGGATATATTGCATTTGCTGCCACGAGTAGCTGAAAATGGTCACACTACTTTTACCTTTAGTGTCATTTTTGACATGACAGTGACACTTAAATGGCATGAAATAGAAATGAACTGTGGCCTATTATTGAGTGAAAATCATGTGAAATAACATAAATACCCCTAGATTCTTTTTCATAGCTTTGAATTACATGTCAATTTTGATTTTGCTTAATGTAATGATTGGTGCAAGAGGACAGCTTTAACAAAGGCAGTGCTTAACTAGGCATTTTACCATCTTAACTTTTGAATAATTTGACTCCTTGGCTATAAATGTTCCACAAATTTATTACTATTTGCTCAATTCATGTAAGTGTATATATTCATCATAACATCCTCATTATACTAGGAAATAAGTAGTTCAGTTTCCTTGCTACATGTGTAAAATAAGTTACGTTATTATTTTCTGTCAAATGCTGGTCTGAGGATCTGAACAGATTGGCAGGTTGATTTGTGCAGTCTTAAGTATAAAAAGTTGATTAATGTCTAAGAGAAATTTTCTGTAGTATTAAAAGAGTTTTTATGCAGTGTAATTTAAAGATGCAGAGTGATAATGGAAAGTCCATTGCATCCATCACCAAAACTGCCTTCTGCTATGGCCTAAAAAGATGAGGAACTGGTGTCATGACAGACCAGGTGTTTATTGTCTCTGAAGGTGTAATATTTAATTGCAATTTTGAAAGCAAAAGAAGTTTAAAGAATTTTTGACTATATATTTAGCAAAACATTCTTAAGATAGCCTCATGTCATATGTCCTGTCCTATGACTTAAGTTTAATAGCAAGTGTGATAAGGCAAATCCCCATGCTTTTTGGAGACGAAGTCTGTATCTGTCATGGCATGGAGTGCATGTTTTCATGAGCTGTAATTAAGTGCATTGTGAGAGCTTTTGCAAAGAATGAATCTCCAGCTTTTTATCGAATTTTAAAATGTTTTATAAATTGTACTGTGGTTTTACTTAGTATTGAACTGTGTGAATAGCAGGAAAGCTGAAAGTGTGTTTGGTTGAAGTAGAATTGATATCAGATTCTACGGGACCAATGGATTAACAGAAAACTGTTTAAGTGATTTAAGTGTTGTTTTTGGCAGAAAAAACACATGCTGATAAATATAAAATAAATACTTGAGCTTTGTTTTGCCAGTACTGTGCAACTATTTTACTACAAATAAGTATGAATCTTTAAAATTTGTGGTAGATTTTTCAGAATGAATCTGTCAGATTTGAAGAGGACATAATGGCTGAAAAGAAATCTAGTCATGTTTTTGTGCAATTGTTCAAAACTGGTTTCATCCATTGCACTTCAACTTGTACTAAAAACCAACTGAAATTAAGTTGGAAAGTTCATTCTTTATTTATCTTGAAATTTGTGTTATTTTTCCTTGGTGAATTTAAAGCAGTGTGGTGATGCTCAATTCCTGCTGTGGATTTTGCAAAAACTTGTGCTGGATAGTTTAGATGATCTGGTCAATATGATAATAAGACAAAAGAAATTGTAAAGGGATAATTAATTTTGGTTTAGCATTGGTTGCCTGAAATTGTAGTGAAGATAATCATGTTATTTTTTATGTACACACACATTGCATTATTATTATTATTATTTTGTAATACTATGCTCTTGAGCCAATATCAGGAAATGACTGTTAGATTACATTATATCCATGTGAAATAACTGTAACTGTTACCATCATAAGCTTTGGGGAAAAAAAGTAATTGAAGTATTTTCATCTATTATGGAATCTAACATTAAACATATTTTTTCCCAAAAAAGAATTTTTAGTGAAGTGTGTAAGATAATTCATTATGCTCAATTTATGATGATTAACCTCTTCATAGCTATTGAAAGGCATGTAATAGTTTGAATTCTGTAATCATCATTAGAAGTATGTTTAAGACATAAAAAATGCTGGGAAACTTAAAATGCGTGACTACAAATAAGTCACTTTTGTTTAATTAAATACATATATATTGTCTTCGAAATTCGAGCTACCAGCTTGGATAACTATACAGTACCTGATGTCACTCAGGATAGTAATATTAATTTGTAAATAATATTAATAATCTTCATAATGGTAGCCCTGTTTAACATTGCTATATATTATAGATATGTATTAGTCTAAGAATGATGGCTTATGTCGCCTAACAATGCAATTGTCTGACTTTGGAACAAAAGAGAATGGGTGTGTTATGCAAGGGTTTCAGATTAGAATATGTGTACAGATATAAGAAAGTAGTGATTGAAGAAAGATGAACCATTTAAGAGAAATAGATGATATACGCATTTGTGTTTGGTTGTAGATTTGTAATCTTTTACACTGACAGCTGTCTGCATCTGCGGAACTCTATTATTACAATTCTGAACACTTGTTACCATGGTCCATTTCAGGTATGAAAAACAACAAATTTGCTTAGATAAATCAAACTACAATGTTTGGTACTGAAAGTGCAATAATATTAGAAATGATTACCCTCTGGAACGGCTACTGCCATAGCTAACAGTAGAAGCTTGATATAGTAACGTATGGGTGTGTATTATGACTACAAGCTAAAAAAGATTGATATTTATGACTGATAAGGTAAATCTATCAATTTTTGACCTCCTCCCCGTCAGTGTCTGAGTCTGGGAGACAAAAATTTTCTCACTTAGTGATCACTGTTACTTGATAACAAAATAGAAATCGGTTATCCATGTGGTGCATTTCAGAGCTATGTCATTTAAAGTTAAGTGTGTAATATATGCTGACCATTATTACTGGCAATGTCTCTGTCTACTGATGGCATATTACCCTCATAGTCAAGATATCTTAACTTGCAGATATACAAATATACAGCAGCAACGTTATAAACAGTTATTTTTAAGTTGAGTAATTATCAAAGCGAAAATTCGACTGTAAGCTAGACACTAGACGTTTTTTATTCAGTTCTTTAAACGCTGTTCCTTAATTTAAGAGACGACATGTCAAATATCCATTGCTCAAAGTTGGGACAGCACATGTCACTTCAACAATTTTGGCTCACTTAGGTGAATTCTCAGCGTGTTTGGCCATGGTGCTGACGATGGTCTCCAGTATTGGGTCGTGCGAGTAGCTCAAAGTATACCTGATTTTGTGGCATTTTGCTTAGGTGATTTGTCTGAATGCAAGTCTCCTATTGTCTTACAAAAGAATTGATATACATGTACATTGCCAATGAAAAATAAAAATTGAAAATTCTTTTTAATATTTCGTTTTTTTTTTGTGTGTGTTTGTTTGTGTATACTCACGTGGTCACATACGTTACATAGTGGTTCTATTGTTTTAATTTAGATATTTTACGTTCAAAACTTAAAACCTTCAAAATTAAAATGGGGGGATTGAAGGGATAACTTTATTTTGGCGAGAAAAGTGCCAGAACTATTTTCCTGGGATATATCAATGGCAAATTGATCCATCCCATTATTTTAAAAATAATTTCCCTAAGAGAGTGTAGCCATCTTTGAAAGCCCACGTGGTAAGCATAGTTTTCAGAATAATTGCGATAACCGCTGTTTTGGTGGTAAAATGGAATCTATTATATTTCTATATGCTGTTTATAAAATATTTATTGTGGAATTTTGAATCTCATATGAAGAGTTGTTATGCTTTTAAATATGCAGTGTGAATCTCATAAGAAGAGTTGTTATGCTTTTAAATATGCAGTGTGAATCTCATAAGAAGAGTTGTTATGCTTTTAAATATGCAGTGTGAATACTTGTCAAAATCCTGATTAATGTTTCTTTTGTGTTGGCCTCCGTCGGGTTGGAGTGATGTTTTGTACCCTATGATGAACCTTTTTTATTTATTTATTTATTTTTTTTTTTTTGGGGGGGGGGGGAGGGGGATTCTTCTACTCCCCAGGGAGCGTGCAGTGCATGCAGCGGCAGTATGTGGTACTTCTAATTCTATCATCTGCATAAAGTTGAATTAAGTTGAATAAAGTTTTAAATAAAGTTTCATTGGTTATCTAATAAATAATTGAACGGGCCTTTTGAAAATTTTGGATTTCTTCTCCATGCTTGGTTTAATATTGCATTCTGTTACATCAGGTAGAGCCCTGCTTTTTGAAGTAAATAAATTTCAAGTTTCTGAGAAGAATTATTGTACTTTAAAATAAAGGTAGAATATTCTTTCGAAAAAAAAGCTGGAGTGTTTTCCATCATGCTGTCTACCTGTATTTATGTATTTTCAATCGTTTTAAATAAATAGAGGAACTTATCTCGATTCTTGAGAACAATATTTGTTTTCTAATACTAAGAAAAAAGTGATAAGGTGATGTTCGTGACAAGCCACATGTGAAAGAATGGTAGTCCTAGGAATGGAAGTCCGGGCTCCCTTATGACTAGTACAGGCTAGGTTTAGTCGGAGTACAGGGGTTAGTAGCCTATACGGGACGGATGTCACCTGTGCAAAGTTAAGGGGAACGGTCTACAGTTTCTAGCCGACGTCCATTCCTGTTACGTCGGGCTACATAAAACACACTTACAAAATGCGCCATGCTCTTATGTTTGTATTAAAAAACGTCATTTTGCTTTTACATATGCAGTTCTACGCCTTACAATTACTTTCTCTATGCTTTATACCAAATAGTCTGTATTATGTCTAAACCGTCACCTGACGGAGGGCATCTGCTTGAAGAAAATAGCCAGCCTTGTCACTTATATATTTTGCTCCCTGACGAATTAAAGCACGTACAATGTAAAGGAAGCCACTTTCCCATCTTGGGACGAACACACTGGACTGCTCGCAGTATTTGGGGAAATAATGAAGGGAAGGGCAAGATTTAATTAAAGCATACTACTAATTGATTCACTTGTTCTTTAAACACATTATCCGTCCTTTGTCCGATAGGTGTTTCGTGAAGGCTTAATAGTGAGAAAATGTTTATCTGTGCATTTCCCTCAAATTACTGATGAACCGTGCTGATATTAACTATCTGACAAGAAGATACTCTCTTCTTACCATGCGACCAACTAGCATGACGGTTGTCATTACATAGGAGTGTTGGTATCGGTATCTCCAGCTTGTTAAGTTTAACTCTGACTCTACGGCGTGTGTGGTGCGTGCTCTATTGTGAAGACTAATGAATATTTCGCCGGTTGATGACAGTGAAGGATTGTTATTTCGTGACGTATAACTTTTAAATACACACACTCTCTCTCTCGAGTGGAATAACCTTATTGTTTAAGGGAGCTTGTGAGATTTCGAGAACTTCACATCAACAAGTAACGCGAAGCCGGAAAGAAGTCGACGTTGGAGCGCCGAGTTGCGGCGTGAAATACAGTCATGGTAAGAAATATGGATATAGACGTTCTCCCAATTTTATCTGTGATTGCGAGTTCATCTTTTATATAAGTTTTACCAAGTAGTATTTATTATGCAGATACAAGCAAGAATGCCATTTACTATACAGGTAGAGGCAAGGTGTTGATAGTTTTGTGTTTCCAGATGAGTCATAAAATGTCTTTCACTGTTTTTCAGATGACTCTACGTTATAGTTTATTACTGGCAGTTTTGCTAGGCTGTATATCTTACCGTACCGACAGTGGTAAGTTTTCTTCATTAAGTGAATGAACATTGTTTAAGAACGTTGCTTAAGTACCAAAATTTGCGGATCGAGAATATTAAAAAGGAGCCTTGTTTATCACTTACAATATTTTATTGAATAAAAATTGAATTTGAAAGTAAAGCTTAGATATTCCAATAGTCTCTTTGTAGAAGTTAAAATTTGTTTAATACTTCAAAGTATTTTGTAAAAATTAGGCGCTCTGGGGCACTTAACGGTACATAGCACAGTGACATTGTTTCTCTGAGCCCCAAGGTTTGATTTTCCTCTTTAGTTGGGGGACAGCGGCTGGTGTTTTCCTCTTTTTCATTTTAAATTTGAGTGGGCGAGTTCAGATCTGCCAATGTATGTGCATCTATACATAGGCCTCGTGTTTTATTCACATAGTAAGCTTGACTGTTGGACTGTATGGATGTTTGCTACATGTACCTGTGTGTAAGAAATAACAATCCATCTAAACTGCTACATGCACAGTGTATATACGTATATGGTATTTACATTATTTTGTGCCACCCTCCATGTCCTCTCTTTGTTTCTCTCATTCAAAACAAAAATAAATGGAAATATCAATTAAAAACGTCCCGTTTCATACAATTTATAAATACATGAGAATAACATCCTTCTGTTTTACTTATTTTATCATTTTCCAGCTCCTGCAGCCGGTACAGACTTTAAAAGAGTGTGTTATTATACCAACTGGAGTCAATTCCGATCTGGCATTGCCACCTTCGTTCCCAGTAACATTGACAGTAGTCTGTGTACACATGCCATCTACGCCTTTGCTACGATAGAGAACGGGAGGCTAGCGTCCACTGCATTTAATGATGACTCGAGTGGAGACAACCCCGGTATGTGTTTTTTTATTTTAAAATCAACTCTTTGACCAGAATCAACTCATTTATTTTAAAATTATGACCGTCGATCTAAATGCAAAACTACCAAAATACATAGCTAAGGTGCCCAATAAATTTTGCCGTGCATTGGCCGTATCTAATTTGGGTTTTAGAAATGTTTTTAAAACAAAGACAATATATGATGATTCACATGAAAGGTTCACTATTTCATCTTTATCTTATCACGGAAGCACATGAGCTTTAGTGAGGTATTACATTTGGCTAACAATGAAGCATTGTAAATCACTTGTTGCTGTTTAACTTTCATACGTGACACACGTCGTTAATTAAGGACAATTCATTAGTCATGTATTTAACCATCCATTTGTAAGCTGACCCAACCGAGTTCGATCAGGAACTGCAAGCTACTAGGAGCCCACCTGAAAGAGGTTCTTGGTGCTTTGGATATACACTATCCCGCCTTATATTTTCCTCTCGGACATTGAGCTATATTGAGAATATTGTGCACTCTTTGCAGTGAGTTGAGTGCTCCAGCTTCCGCCCCGCCCATTTTTCATTTATATTATTCATCAGATTTGCTATACCTTAAGCTGAGAAAAGGTTTGTACATACATGTAGGATTTAAAAAACAGATGAATGTTAGATATGCAAGGAAATTGACTTGAAGTGGAAGTTGTCCCAGTGTTAACCCTCACTTCAGCGGCAATCAAATTTTGACTGAAAAGGTAACAAAACAATAACCTCTTGTTTCTCAGTCTAGTCTGATGACCGCAGATTAGGATTGTCCCAGATGCTAATTTCTACCCACAATGAGAGCCGACTCAATTCGTTTTACAGGTTGGATCATGCGAGCTTCAGCTCTGTATATCTGCGCAACGTTTAAGCTGGGGTAAAACAAAGAAAATTTGATAAGCAGAGAAAGATATATATATTAAGTAGACGGTTTGCACTCATAGAATTGATTATATTGATTTTGTAGTGATACATGATATAGTTACCTATGTCATTGTAAGAGATGAATGATGAATACAAATGGCCAATCACTTATTCAGGAGAGGTGAGCGGTGAGCAGGTCTTTCCTTATCCCTGTGTCTCGCAAACAAAGAAAAGTCCCCTAAAATTATCATCAACGTTGTTCTTCATCTTATGAAATTACTATATGCAGGACCGGACTTACTATACTAACTATCCAAATGATTAATGAACCCAATAAAAAGAGAAAGCGATAAATGCATTGATAAAACCACTAAGATAAAGAGGCGAAAATCATAGCGTTAAAAGATATATAAATTGATATGTATCTTAAGTATTAAGTTCTTCAATTTGATTTTACTTTAGTTAATGTGTTATATTTCTCAGCAAGCGAATCAGTCATAAACGAGGAGAGAACAATGTGACTTACAAGTAATGAAGGTTAGACTTGATCGAAAAGATAAAGTCAATGTCAACTCAGCAAACGCTTAGTGTAATGATTTCAAGAACAGTAAAGCCGCCTTTTTGAGAAAATGTTAAATTTTAATTTGATGAGAAAATTTTGATTCTGAACAGTTTGTTTGTTATTTTGTCTGATGACGTTATTTTGATCATTTTTTTTTTTTGTAACATTGTCAAAACTGAGGAATGGTTTCACTAACTACCAAAAATGCATATGTAGCTGGGTTAAGTGTGTTATGTACCTTCGAATGGGCCTTTGTAACCAACTCTTTAAAAACGCAATTTTGCCAAACCAATTTAGATTATTTATGAAAGGAACACTGATTACGACAATGATGTGCTCAAGATAATAACATGGAGATGATCATGCGATGGTTGTGTAGGGCGCGTGGCATAATGATACACATTTCAACAAGAATGTATTATAGACAGGTGCATTCCCCTTGGTCGTATTAAGTAATGAAGGAGATTATTTCTGTATCGAAATAAATTATTGTTTATTATTGATTAGCACTGAAATACTTTAAATACATGTTTTAAACATTTGAATTACAAAATATGTAAAAAAAATAACCTTGAAATTGTGTATGTGTCTCATAAGAGGTACAGATAGTTATAAACTTGTTTGGGACCACACGTAATTCAAAACCGAACACGTTTGGAAACATCTTTTTGAATGAATTGTTATTAGAAATAAAAGGATAAGTATCATAATTAGTTCAATTGCCGTCATTGCCTTTAAAGATATACATTTTGATTTCGAATGTTTTGCTGCAACACACCTCCATGTTCATTTACACTTATCACTGTTCCTGAACAGGTATGTACCAGCAGTTTAACGAGCTGAAACAGACGAACTCCAACCTGAAGACGTTATTAGCTGTTGGAGGGAGCGGCCTTGGTGATGCCCCATTTCGGTCAATCTCTAGTTCGGCTGCGTCCAGACGAAGCTTCATATCGGACGCGGTCACGTATTTGCAGGACCGTGGGTTCGATGGGCTGAGCGTGGATTGGAGTTTCCCTAGAAATAAAGCAAACCATGCTGCACTTATAAGGGTGAGTTCTGTCAACCTATGATATGTTTTTTTTTAAATTTTATTTTTTTATTATTTTATTTTATTTATTTTTTATTTTTATTTTTTTTTGTGTGTGAGTGTGTGTGTGTGAATATACCTACTAAGTTGATTTGAAGAGTTGACCTCATGAGTTTATTTCCTATAATTGAACGTAGTTCAGATTCAGATTGCCATCTTTTNGCCGACTCAATTCGTTTTACAGGTTGGATCATGCGAGCTTCAGCTCTGTATATCTGCGCAACGTTTAAGCTGGGGTAAAACAATAAAAAATTTGATAAGCAGAGAAAGATATATATTTAGTAGTCGGTAGCCGATTTGCACTCATAGAATTGATTATATTGATTTTGTAGTGATACATGATATAGTTACCTATAGCATTGTAAGAGATGTATGATGAATATAAATGGCCAATCACTTATTAAGAAGAGGTGAACGGTGAGCAGGTCTTTCCTTATCCCTGTGTCTTGCAAACAAAGGCAAGTCCCCTAAAATTATCATCAACGTTGTTCTTCATCTTATGAAATTACTATATGCAGGACCGGACTTACTATACTAACTATCCAAATGATTAATGAACCCAATAAAAAGAGAAAGCGATAAATGCATTGATAAAACCACTAAGATAAAGAGGCGAAAATCATAGCGTTAAAAGATATATAAATTGATATGTATCTTAAGTATTAAGTTCTTCAATTTGATTTTACTTTAGTTACTGTGTTATATTTCTCAGCAAGCGAATCAGTCATAAACGAGGAGAGAACAATGTGACTTACAAGTAATGAAGGTTAGACTTGATCGAAAAGATAAAGTCAATGTCAACTCAGCAAACGCTTCGTGTAATGATTTCAAGAACTGTAAAGCCGCCTTTTTGAGAAAATGTTAAATTTTAATTTGATGAGAAAATTTTGATTCTGAACAGTTTGTTTGTTATTTTGTCTGATGACGTTATTTTGATCATTTTTTTTTTTTGTAACATTGTCAAAACTGAGGAATGGTTTCACTAACTACCAAAAATGCATATGTAGCTGGGTTAAGTGTGTTATGTACCTTCGAATGGGCCTTTGTAACCAACTCTTTAAAAACGCAATTTTGCCAAACCAATTTAGATTATTTATGAAAGGAACACTGATTACGACAATGATGTGCTCAAGATAATAACATGGAGATGATCATGCGATGGTTGTGTAGGGCGCGTGGCATAATGATACACATTTCAACAAGAATGTATTATAGACAGGTGCATTTGGATATTCCCCTTGGTCGAATTCATATAAAGTTATGAAGGAGATTATTTCTGTATCGAAATAAATAATTTTTTATTATTGATTAGCACTGAAATACTTTAAATACATGTTTAAAACATTTGAAAAAAACATTTACAAAAGTTGTAAAAATAACCTTGAAATTGTGTATGTGTCTCATAAGAGGGACCACACGTAATTCAAAACTGAACACGTTTGGAAACATAGTTTTGAATGAATTGTCATTAGAAATAAAAGGATAAGTATCATAATTAGTTCAATTGCCGTCATTGCCTTTAAAGATATACATTTTGATTTCGAATGTTTTGCTGCAACACACCTCCATGTTCATTTACACTTATCATTGTTCCTGAAAAGGTATGTACCAGCAGTTTAACGAGTTGAAACAGACGAACTCCAACCTGAAGACGTTATTAGCTGTTGGAGGGAGCGGCCTTGGTGATGCCCCATTTCGGTCAATCTCTAGTTCGGCTGCGTCCAGACGAAGCTTCATATCGGACGCGGTCACGTATTTGCAGGACCGTGGGTTCGATGGGCTGAGCGTGGATTGGAGTTTCCCTAGAAATAAAGCAAACCATGCTGCACTTATAAGGGTGAGTTCTGTCAACCTATGATATGTTTTTTTTTTTTTTTTTTTTTTTTTTTTTTTATTTTTTTTTATTTATTTTTTTTTGTGTGTGTGTGTGTGTGTGTGTGTGTGTGATGTGTGTGTGTGTGTGTGAATATACCTACTAAGTTGATTTGAAGAGTTGACCTCATGAGTTTATTTCCTATAATTGAACGTTGTTCAGATTCAGATTGCCATCTTTTATTTCGTTTTGTTAAGCGTTTGGAAATACTTGAACGTTATGAGGAGCACTGAATATTCTCAAATATTCTCATAAGCATAATATTAGTAAATTAACACTTATCCCTTATTTTAAAATACCTTGTGATGGACTGTAGGTATATTGTACTGATAAGAATCCAGAATAATAAATAAGAAGGAAGGGGGGGGGGGTACCAGAAAAGAAAACCATTGTTGAGTTCTTTATATAATTCCCATGTATGGAAGTGCTAATAGTAACTGAAAAAAAAAGAAGGATTATGCAGCCTTCATTAATAATTCACAATGGGAAATATGGACCAGAAAATTAGAGTCAGTAATAAATCGACATTAAGGGTGTAAAAATACCATAACAAAGGAATACTACAGTTTGGATTTGTCATTGTTGTCCTTGACAGATATTATTTGCATTGATGTTAGATAAGATTATGTATTAGCACGAGACAAAGATGCATAGTTATTGGGAGGGAGCACACTTTCACAGTTAATTTCTTTAGAAAGGGTAGGATAGATATATATACAGCTATAGCTGCAAGTAGACATTTAGATATTTTATGGGATTTAATAGTTTGTAAACGACATAAATTGCCCTGGACAAAGATAAGTATATTGCATTATCAGTCCCTTCTTGCACTTTCACAAAAAGACTCCGCCGTTTTCATGAGTATATACAAACTGTGCATCTATAGATGAGCTAAACAACCAAACAAACTGCTGACTAATTACTTCGGTGCAGTTTCGCGAATCGCACATTTATTTCAAGCACACTCCATTTCAAGGCCAACCTACGTTTTTGAGCCCAAACTTGCACTACTGTCACTCAGCATTAGTATTCTTGTCAAGTAGCATAGCCATCAGTGCTCAATTTTCATATTCACGCCAAACTTAGAGGAATGAAGACAATCAAAATGTAATAGTTTGAGATTGAGATATGAATAAGTAATGCCGGCATGCTAACTTCTACCGAACTTTGATTTAAAGGAATTAAAGCAAGCATTCCAAAGCAATAACCTACTACTCGGGGCATCCGTAGCAGTGAAAAGGTCCGATATAGATGCAGGGTATGATATTCAAGAGATTTCAAGGTGAGTATAATGGTTTTCGTCGAAGGCTGCGAAAGGGAAGTTGCATCTAGTGACTTTGAACCAGCTTACATTCAACTTCGTTTACGCTGCTTTCAAGCTATTCTTTGGAGCAACTTTAGAGTGATGGGTCCCGTTGATTTCTTTTCTTGTCAAGCACGAAAGTGACATCGCCTCAGTCATGTGTGATAAAAGAGAAAGAGACAACAGTAGTACTAAACACGGACAAGTATGTTTATACATATTACGAGGTCAGGAGTGAAAGCCTGCCTGTGAAATGAAAAATGTTTGGAAAACATGTAGTGTAACCCTGTCCCAGTGCACAATATCTTGATCACTGTCACTAGATGTTTTGTTTTGGATATAAACGCATGACCAAGAATTAATTAAACTGAACTGCGACCTATTCTTTGCGATTTAAATCTCACAAAACAGTTCTATGCTTAGCATGATGTAAAATGCTTATATATGTGTTTCTTTTAGGTATTTAGACTTCATCAGTCTGACAACCTTTGACTTCCACTCTTCAAGTGAGAACGCTGTGGCCCATCACAGCCAGCTTTATAACAGGAGTGAAGAAAAGGGCAGAGAAGCAGAGCTTAACACGGTCAGTAGTTGCTCCTGATTTTTTTTACCGCTATACATAAATACGCTGTCCCAAAAGATAGGCCTACATTGTGAAGTGTGTAAATTTGTCAAGATTTCCCATTTCTTTTTCTTTCTTTCAAGTATTGTACCAACACCTTTTTCGTCAATTAAACGAAAGATATGCATTTTCATATTCAATTTACAAAAGCGTGCAAAATTTCACTTTCACAATTATAGATGAAACAATTAAAGTGATGGAAAATTCTATGTCCTATTGAAAAAAATGTCAATGCCTGAAAAGGATACTTAGATTGTAATATTTTGTCTTATATCGGAAAAGATGTGCTTCGTTAGAAATTTATCATTTGTATTGTTTATACATTTTGTTCATGTCAGTTATTCTTTTCTTTGACTTATTAAGGACTGGGTGGTCAATTACTGGATGGAGAAAGGCGCACCAGCAGAAAAACTGCTGGTAGGTGTGGCCTCGTACGGTGTGTCATACACCCTGAGTAACAATGCTATTAGCTTCGGGGCACCTGCAGTTGGAGCTGGCGAGGCAGGTGAAATGACCAACCAACCCGGGGTGCTGTCTTATTATGAGGTGTGTATGGCCTTTTCGTGCAATGACTTTACATAAAAGGGAGAAAAAAACACGCAGAAACCCATTTACAACGTCGCACGCATCTACCTATTCTGGCTGCCTACATAAGCTAAAAAAAGCATGTCTTATTAACATTGTCATTTGTTCCTCTTTTGTTCAACCACTAATGAAGCGTTCTCTCGTGTTTTTCAGTTGTGTGATAAACTTTCAAACGGTGGATGGCGTAGAGCTTGGAGTCCGGTGGCTAAGGTGCCTGTTGCGTACAATACAAGAGAAAGCCAGTGGGTTGGATATGATGACATGAACAGTGTTGCTTACAAGGTAACAAGATACACGTGTATAACTTACATGTAGTTCAGATGAAACTCTTCTTTTCATAGCATAATGTCTCCAGCTACCATTTAAATTGACTCTGTCCATGAACCAGAGAAGGTAAGGGTGTTCGTTGCTGATTGCTTCGACTTTGATCGACCAGTTGGTTGTAGAAATGTGTATAACTAACACAAAATACGAATGTTTTTTCATTCTACTGACCGTTTTGAATGACACAACTATTTCAGAATATTTATAAATTTTTGTCATGGTACTTTTTTTCCTAGGCACAATACATTTGTGATAAACGATTAGGCGGAGCAGTGGTGTGGGCATATGATTTGGATGACTTTGGTAACTACTGCAACCAAGGAGAATATCCTCTTATCCGACGCTTGAACGAAGTTTTAGAAGGAAGAAGATCGCCTACTGAACCCTCATTTCCAACAGTACCGCCGCCGGCGACAACAGAAAGCCCTGCAGCTACGGCAGCCTCAGGGGGCTCTGTAGGTGGGGGTTCCGCACCTGCTACAGGTCCGGCACCCAATGCTGACGATTTTGGGACCTTTAATGAACCAAGCGGAGACACCCCCGTGTCATACCCAAGTAGCGGCCCGTGCACTCCTCTGGCTTCTGCGTCTCCACCAAACCCACGTCGAGTCGTCTGCTATTTCACTAACTGGAGTCAATACAGGTCCGGAAATGGGAGATTTCTCCCTACGGATATTGATCCATCTTTATGTACGCACATTATTTTTGCCTTTGCCTCCCTGAGTACCAGAGGTCAACTGATGTCTACCGATGAGTTTGGGGATCTCAGAGAAACTGAAGGTAAACCTGTAGAATGTTGTAAGAATGTTGTTTAAAGAATATTTAATTTTTTAGGTAAAAAACTGCGCCATTTTCAAATAATTCATATTTTTGTTTGAGCAGCTTTAACTACAGGTTATAATAATAATATGTTTCTTAATTCAATATAATATCTGCGGCATGTTTTTTGAATACAAAACCTCCCACTGTCTAATTATCTGTTAATACCCTCAGGACTATACCACAGAGTTGCTGTCCAGTTAAAGCAAGACCACCCCAATGTCCGGTTTAAGGTCCTCCTTGGTCTTGGTGGATGGACAATGGGCAGTGCCTCTTTCAGTAGGATGGTGTCTACGCGATCTAATAGGTGGGTTGTGTATGAAACTGATAACACCCATCCTTCACATTGTGAGTTAGATTATAATAAATTTGCTTCAGTGATTCTGTTGGCTCAATGGCAAGGTTTGCCAACTTTATTGAGATTTTATTTGAAGGTTGACTGTTTAAAGCCATGTAGTAGGCTGATTTTGGTAGTTGTCAGGCATAAATGATTTCGATCAAAAGTCACTTCTTATTTGTTGGAGGATAGTGTGTTTGACATTGATTCTATTAAATGTTTTCTTACAAAAGAAAATAAGCCTCCAGTGAGGATTGAACTCACGACCCCTGGTTTACAAGACCAGTGCTCTAACCACTGAGCTATAGAGGCCCATGTATCAAAATTAATCGCCCTAAAATTTCTGTGTAAAAAGTTTGATTGTTCTTTGGGTATCTTCATCAGCACAGATATCCAAGTACCTTTTTATTATTATTATTATTATTATTATTATTATTATTATTATTATTTGCACTTGGGCATTGTTACTGCAACCATCATTCGGGTGTCTATTAAAAGAATAATGTCAAGAAATTTATGAGATTTGATGCTTCTGAAGTATTGATAATAAGATTGTGTTTTGTTGTCATTGATCGGGACAAAGTTAATTTATCACGTCGCACAGTTCCTCAGTAATGTCTTCCCCAATTACCGCTTATAGGACAGTTAATCCTCCAGTTGAGTAAAATGCAAGTTAAAGGTACATTCGAACCGAGCATCGGTGGAGTGTGGATTCCCAGTAACACATCCAAACCACTTCTACTAGTTTCTTATACGACTCAAATAAATTTGACATGCCAAGCGATAAAATTGAATAGTTCACTTGATCAGCCATAAAAGAGCTTCAGACTGCTCCTTTCCTTAAAGTTTTGGTCGGAAATTTTACCTACATTCGTGACCTACTTTTCTGCCCCTTGACATACAGCATAGAATGCTAGCAGAAAAATCCGTTCAAACATCACTTTCGGGAAAAATTAAACGGTGCCTTTTGGTAATTCTCTTAGTTTTACTACTTGAAACTATATGCTGGCATTTGGTCTGTTTTTGTGGCAAAATATTGGCTTTGTATGCATCTTTAAGTTGAGCTTTGCTCAATGAGCAGACGAATCCAATGACCATTCAAAAATCTACAACTAGAGCCCCTAGTGAGGATCGAACTCACGACCCCTGGTTTACAAGACCAGTGCTCTAACCACTGAGCTATAGAGGCAATTTTTTCCCTACTTCCCTTTTTCACATTTGAGAAATCAATAAAAAAACTGGTTTGTGTTTTTCTAAATCTTTTCATCAGTAAAAGAGCCTTTTTATAATTTTTGTCACTTGTTAAATACAAGTTTAATTTATACTGCAGCCATCAAGTTTGTGTTGAACAAGAATAATGACAAGAAATTCATGTGATATGATGTTTATTAAGTATTGATAGTAAGATTGTGTGTTTTTTGCTTGACCAGGGCAAGGTTTATTGAACATGCTGTACAGTACCTCAGAAACTATTCATTTGATGGCTTAGATATGGATTGGGAATATCCGGCCTCAAGGTCCGGTAGTTCCCCACAGGATAGACCCAGATATACCATGCTGTTATCGGTAAGGTCTGCCTTTTCATCTAATCGGAACAAAAACAAGGCTTTGAATAGCCGATTAAAATATTTTATACCATTAAACATAAAGGGCCGTTGATATTCCTTATTTAATCATTATGTTTCTTTAACGCCCTCAGCACCATTTTGTATATATTTCAATTTCAGAAACACTTACAATAACAGCTCCGTTTTTTTATTTTAGGAGATCAAAGAAGCTTTTGATAGAGAAGCTCGCAGGAGTTCTGGCGATGGTCTGATACTTTCTGCCTCAGTCGCCCAGCACAAGAGATACATAGATCCCGGCTATGAGATTTGTCACATGGGAAGGCAAGTGAAATGTATTTTTGCCGGGCCCCTTTTCCTTTTTACCCTACTTCTAACGATTACTTTGGGGCTCGGTGGACTGAAATCTAAACTTTTAAAAATTATTCACATCATTTAACTCATTAACTTGATTGTGCATGCATTTTGGTTAATAATTCCATTATTTTATATTTGATAGGTATAATATTACATTAAAAACCAATCTTGTCTCCAATCAGATATTCATCTAAATTCTTTTAGTTTGACATTTAAATTTCGATGTACTATTTCCTTAGAAGTAACTTTTTGTCTGGTTCGTTGTTTATTGTAAACGCTATTGTTGGTATTTCAGAATCCTCGATTTTGTCACAGTTCTCAGCTTTGATTTCCACAATGCACGAAACGGAATAACGGGATTTAACAGTCCCTTGTACCAGAGATGTGACGAACAATACACGCGGTACAAAGACTTCAACGTGGTATGTAATATCCATATGAAAACCATTTATGTATGTATAGAAGTAGCTCAGTTTATCGCAAATATGAAGAGTGGTAAACATATCCTAACAAGTTACTTTGTACATACCTTTATACACGTTGTCCTCTACAGGCTCTTATTCGCATGAATTTGAACATACTTGTGTTTTTAAGATCTACTAATGAAAACGAAATGGCGGCAGTCTGTTATATCATTTTGTTTGCAGTTTATATTGAAAAAATAGTTAGGCATCAATATTACTTTTTTTCATTCTGAAGGATTGGGCAGTGAACTATTGGCTGGACGGTGGCATACCGGCGCACAAGTTAAACCTTGGAATAGCCATGTTTGGCGAGACTTTCACGCTGCGAGACCCGAGCAACGTGGAACCTGGAGCACCTGCTTCTGGCGCAGGTGACGCAGGACCTATCTCGGGAGAGGCAGGTTTTATGGCATACTATGAGGTACGTAGACATTTATATGAATTACAAGGAAACAAATGCTTGATCAATTCTATAAGTTTTAAGAAAGAAGAAGCAGGTTCCATTGTAAGGTAAGGGATTATTGTTGACATCATACCCTTCATTGTGTCAGCGCTAGATGGTCCAAGCAGCTTGGGATGGACTGGCGCTTTACTAGGGTCACTGATTGATTTTTTTTCACATGTTATGCACAGATATGTCTCTGGTTTATTCTCGACATTTTTCTACTGTAAGAGAGAATTCGTGCACGAATGAATTCTGGCCTCTAGTCTACGTTTTCAGATAAAATCACCGTAAAAATACCGTAAGAAAAGTTGAGAACGGACAAGTCTCAAATGGATGTTGGGTCTGTTATGATATGGGGCTTGTGGTACTGAAACATTTTTATTTTATTTTATTTGATGTTACTTAACGAATCACTTGGCTTATGACGGAAGTGTGCGATATAGCACATTGATTAAAATATATTAATATGTTATTATAATAAAGAAAAACATTCCATTAAGAACACCTCCTGTTTGTGTACTTTAGATTTGCGACAAACTTCTCTCGGGTTCATGGACCCGTGTGTTCCACGACCAATCTCAGGCACCATACATGTACAGTGGGGACCAATGGATCAGTTATGACGATATCACCAGTATAGAAATAAAGGTAAGGTAACCGAGTTTTGAGTGCTTGTGTGTTTATGGCAACTATGTACATTACTTGATGTCAGATAACTGATTACAATGCAAAACAACCGATACAGATAGGAGCAAAAGTTAAATTAAACATTATGTTGCTAAGGCACTAGCGGCCCCCATTGTCAAATGATTCTAATGGATATCGTGTTTANTCTTCATTGTGTCAGCGCTAGATGGTCCAAGCAGCTTGGGATGGACTGGCGCTTTACTAGGGTCACTGATTGATTTTTTTTCACATGTTATGCACAGATATGTCTCTGGTTTATTCTCGACATTTTTCTACTGTAAGAGAGAATTCGTGCACGAATGAATTCTGGCCTCTAGTCTACGTTTTCAGATAAAATCACCGTAAAAATACCGTAAGAAAAGTTGAGAACGGACAAGTCTCAAATGGATGTTGGGTCTGTTATGATATGGGGCTTGTGGTACTGAAACATTTTTATTTTATTTTATTTGATGTTACTTAACGAATCACTTGGCTTATGACGGAAGTGTGCGATATAGCACATTGATTAAAATATATTAATATGTTATTATAATAAAGAAAAACATTCCATTAAGAACACCTCCTGTTTGTGTACTTTAGATTTGCGACAAACTTCTCTCGGGTTCATGGACCCGTGTGTTCCACGACCAATCTCAGGCACCATACATGTACAGTGGGGACCAATGGATCAGTTATGACGATATCACCAGTATAGAAATAAAGGTAAGGTAACCGAGTTTTGAGTGCTTGTGTGTTTATGGCAACTATGTACATTACTTGATGTCAGATAACTGATTACAATGCAAAACAACCGATACAGATAGGAGCAAAAGTTAAATTAAACATTATGTTGCTAAGGCACTAGCGGCCCCCATTGTCAAATGATTCTAATGGATATCGTGTTTAGTAAAATACCACCTGCTGTGTCTTCTAGACGTGCCGAAGCCTTGCACTTAAACATATTTCCAAAAGTTTGATGACCAGGGAAAGAATGTTAGAAAGGAGAGCCCCTAGTGAGGATCGAACTCACAACCCCTGGTTTACAAGACCAGTGCTCTAACCACTGAGCTATAGAGGCAACCGATGTCTTGTCGAAAGGCTCATGCCCGGCCGCTCCTAAATAGTCGTTTTATAACTGATGACATTTTGTTCTGATTTTTTCAGGCGAAATACATAATTGAAAAGGGACTCGGAGGAGCGATGATATGGGCCTTGGACCTTGACGACTTCTCAAACTTATGCGGGGATGGGCCGTACCCACTTCTGACCAAGATCAACTCTGTATTTTTGGTCCCAAGCTCTGCCGGCCCTCTTCCACCACCCCCCGTTTGTCCTTCAACCACAACCTCCACGACGACCACAACGCCTGCGCCGCCTCCTCCTGTCGCTGTTGATTCGGGGGCTGGCCAGACCGGAGGAGTATTACTTATCAATAGTGGGCAAGGTACCGGAGCCGTCGGAGACAACAACGAAGCAGTTGTGGTGGTTGTAATACCATCCACTGTTGATAATAATGCTGTTATAGTATCAAGCAATACTACTGCTGCTGAAAATTCGGTATCTTCCGCAAGAGGTCTTAATTCTGCTTCTTCGACAAGTAAAATACCCACAGCCACAACAGTATCAACAGAAAGTCCACCCATCCCTGTTAATACATTCCGCACTCTGCTAATTTTCCCACAAGCCCCAAGCACTGGCATAGGGGACCCCCCCAGTTCGTCTTTGGCCACAACACCTACGGCACCCATCAGTGAGACTGCGACAGTTATTACACCCACAACAACAATACCACCACCAACAATAATGCCAATCCCCACTACCACTTCCACACCAAGCACAACAACAGTAGGAACTTCATCAGCTGCCATGACCACGCCCACTACCACTTCTACTCCAGCAACCACCCCTACAACCACATTGGTGAACACACTCACAACCACTTCGACAACCGTCTTTGATGACACTGCCATTATTTTAAATATTGTCGAATCTAATGATAGCGAGAACGATTCATAGCCCATCGTTTTTTCAAATTATCTTAAAGAGCTTTCAGTCGAGTTTTCAACCGAGCAGTCTTGAAAAAGACCACTTAAGTCCTTACTTTCGGAAGCAAGTTGCCGCCCCCTTATTTACATCTGTTATCCCGTCTAACCATGATTGCTTGTCCTTTACCTCAAGGATAACAGTGAGATAGTTTGTGGAAGATTGTATCAAGTGTCTGCTCCCTTACGTTAATATTAAAATGCTGTTAGAACCAATCTGTTTTGTATAAATTAAAGCAGCAGTAGCATTGATAGAAATAGCAATAACTTTCTGCACTAAATTGATTCACTTTATGACTGGCATAAACTAAGCCTTGACAGATACTATTAAGACTATTTATATGCTTTGTGATAAGCAAAGACTTCTACTTTAACGTATTCATATTTTAATGATTTATTTCTTCTTACCGTTTGCATGCATAAAAGATTGAACTGATGATTTTATAGATTGCATGATTAGGTGGAGGCGGGCTCTATAGAATTTCAAATATTATATGTATTTTGTAACTTAGAAAGTATTGTAGAAAAACAAAATTGTTTATGCAATAGCTCACAAAGGCGACTTTTTTAAGATACACTTTTTTACTCACTCGTCTGATTGGTTAAATTTCTACGTCCTTTGTCTCGAGAGAATGAAGCATCGTTAAGATATAATGAATTAAAAGCATGCAATATAACAGGGAACGAAATACACAAGGTTTTTTCGTGGAAAAACTCATTTACCTAGTTTGAGGCCATATCAGGTAAGAATTTTTCTATTGTGTTTTTGTATTTTGCATTCCCATGTGCCTTGCACCTCTTTTCTAACGGTATTCAATTTGACTGATGATGTATTATCCACCTGCGACCCAACCACAGCTTATGTTTCTGTAGTTCTATGGTATCCATATCTCTACAACCATAACCAAAGACAAAATTGCATGTACAACGTGCTGGTACGTGCGTCCATATGTTTAGTTGTTCCCATTTACCAACAGGGCTTGGACCAAGTCAAGCGTTATTTGTATAACTTTCCTATTGTGAAATGTCAAAGTCAGATTGTTATGGATATAGTGTCAACCATCGTTTGTCGCCTTCATCCCAACCTTGAGGTCGGTGCGGTTAATTAACCGATTTACGTTGACCGTTGTTGCATGGGTTCTTGATGTACCGTTTGTGATAGAATTGTCCGCCGGTGTCCGCCTTTTCCGTTATATTTCCCGCGAAGTTGCAATATTATTTATTATTGTTTTCCTGATATTATAATTATACCTTCACCTTTACCTTCAAATGCATGCCCTACCATATTTACTAACAGTGGGTTTTATTTAGGCTGATGAGTAGGATGCAACTAGTAAACTAATCTTCCTTTGCATGTGATGCTGTGTTCAGCTATTTTAACACTGGAGCCATTGTGAAGAGTTTCGTAAAATTACACGCAAACAATATTCTTTTGTTTTATTTTCAAATGTAATAGTAATGATTTGTAGATTTGGTAACACGTTACTATTTAGTAGTAGTACAGTAAGTAGCATTGTAGCATTGTGGAGAAGGTTTTGTTTGAAAATGGCTGGTTATACTAGACTGTTTTGCGTTGAGACGGCGAATATCTTGCTTATTTTTCTCCGTTGTATTGCAGGTGCTCTTTCTGCGGGAACTGATTCTGGAGCTGTGCGAACAGGTATCAGCTTATTAATTGCTGTATATTCTGTCTAAACTGTTGAATGTTGAAAATAAATGAGCTCGATATTTCCAAATTCCTTTATTTCCTCACACATCATTACGATTATGTCTTCTTTCCAGAACCTCCATTCACATGTAACGGCAGAGGGCCTGGAATCTATGCAGACCCATTCAGTTGCAACAGCTTCTATATCTGTGACACTGGTTTCCAGCAACTTATATCTTGCGAGCGTGATTTAGTTTTCCACGCAGATCAAGGCATTTGTGGTTCTTCAGATGGATTTACGTGTAATCCTGCATCCTTACTTACAACTACCACCACAACTACCACCGTCAGACCACCACCTCCACCGCCTTCCACCAGGGCACCGGTCGTAGTTATCCTTCAACCAGCCACTGCAACTAGAACCACAAGACCACCACCACCACCACCGCCTCCTACCACCAGAGCACCGCAAATAATCATCTTTCAACCAGCCGCTACCACGCCCAGACCGAGAACCACAACCACCAGACCTAGAACCACAACCACCAGGCCGACAACCACCACAACAAGACGGACAACTACAACCACCAGACCAACGACCACCACGACTACAGAACCGCCCCCTACAGGTAATGTTGTCTTTAAAATCAGTTTGAATTTTATATACATAGTGTGTATTTCATTTGAGAATCTATTCATGTTTTTATTTTTGCGTTTGTTTTAGGATGTCAGTTATTTATATTTTAAACGGTTAGTTATAATAAATCGAAATGACTGCCAACATATACGTCAGCATGTGGAACGGAAAAGCTTACGGATGATTCGCTGACCCTTCCTATGGAACACTTTTATGTGTATAATGGTGGCGACATATTGTGCAATCCAAATGTAAGATTGCCTCAAAGGGTCCGAATCAGATCCGTCATTGTGGCGGCGCATCCGCTGCAAACAGCTACCAACAAATTCCCCAACTTCTCAAACACTACTTGCAATGTACAACGACAACAACAGCTACACTATAGGTCAGAGAGCTACAACAACAGGTATTACCACAATGACAAGTACACCACCTACATGTACAGGGTAATTACTTTATAAAATTTTATTTTTTCCATGACATATTTTCTATTGTAATAAAAAGAATATATAGTTTTACATTCTTAACATGGAAGGCTTCTTTGGGGTTTATTTCAGATCTATCTTGATATTTTAAGTATAACAATTTTGCAGTTTATGGTGGTGAAGATGTGAGTTTAATACGGGATTTATGTTAACATTTAGAAAATAACCCGAGAAAAATTTTCAAGGAATTTGCACAGCGAATAACACTGTGCTTCAGACTCATTGTTGTCCTTTTCAGCGTATCCGTTTACATGCGAGGGCAAAGGACCAGGATCCTATGCAGATCCTTTTGATTGTTCTTACTTTTATACGTGTTCTGGTGGTCGGGCTACAAGAGTACCTTGTCAGTTTGGATTGTTGTTCAACCCACGTCGTCGTTCTTGTGACTGGGCAAGGAATGTTAACTGTAGACCAGCAGTGTTGGTGACCAGACCAACAACAACTACAATTTCAACCACAACTACAACGACAACGAGACCACCACCTACTTCTAGACGCACTCGCCCTCCTTTTAACACATTCAGAAACCCCCGACCCCAACTAACACAAACATCGAGACAACCAGCACAGCGCCAACCAATACAAATCCAACCAACCCCACAAAGAACAACAATCCCTACAACCACTGGTCCACCACCAACAGGTATGCGTCTGTCATGTATGGCATTCATAACATTATATCATTTTTTTTTACTTTTTAACTTGAAATTGTCACCTTTTTGGCAAATTGTAATGGGTAATATGCCTCATAACATATTATCCATATGCTTACTCCATTACGACATCAAGATTTTAAATGATATTTGACAGGTATGTTAGTACGTGCATTTTTATAAGTTTATCGCAATAAAGGTGCCATAAAGGTGACACCAAAATATTAAACATGACTTTTTATGGATGTTTTCTTCCCTTAACATTTTTGTTCACCTATTTTTGAAGTGTCCGTCTGAGAACTTAAAACAATCTATCATTATGTAAGTCTGTGTTTTGTGAAAAAAAGTTGCATGCCTTTTAAACTCTAACTAACAATGACGATACTTCACAGTGGTCATTTTAAATGTTTCGTCGCCAAAAGTAAGTCTTGTAGCGACATAATCAAACTATATTTTTCAGCATATCCTTTCACGTGCGATGGAAGAGGTTCTGGTACCTATGCCGATCCTTTTGATTGCGAACATTTTTATATTTGCACCGGTGGTAGAGCAAGACGAATTTCTTGCCAACCTGGACTGCTTTTCAGTCCAAGCCTCGGTTCCTGCGATTGGCCAGGAAATGTACAATGTAGACCAGCCATTCTGGTCACAAGACCTACCACACCTACCACAACTACTACCACAACCACCACTACAACCACTCCCCCAGTACCTACAACAAGTAGGGTGACACAACCAACAACTACTACTAGGTCGACAACACCTACTACTACAACTACCACAACGACAGGTCCGCCACCTACAGGTAAAATACCCTGTCAGTAGGTGAAATTCTGATGGTATAAAGAACTCTGTATTGTGTCACGGGGTTTTACTTGCATGTTTTGTAGAGAATAGCTGATTTTTAAGACATAACCCATTATTTTAAAAGAAAAGTTATATTAACCCCTATTGTAAACATAGTGAATCTTTTGTCCGTACCTGTAATAATGTTGCCTAATGTTTTGAATGTGAACCTTATTGTTTCTATAAGGCATCTATTAATTTTCAGCCTATCCGTTTACATGTCTTGGTAGAAGGCCAGGATCGTATGCCGATCCTTTTGATTGTTCCTACTTCTATGTTTGCTCTGGTGGTCGGGCACGGCGACTGTCATGTCAAAGTGGATTAATGTTTGACCCGAGACGCCGAACTTGTGATTGGGCGAGGAACGTTAACTGTAGACCTGCAATTTTGGTTACACGGCCCACTACTACCACTATTCCCACTACTACATCCGCAGATAATCAATTCACGTTAAGACAAACGTCTCCGTCACTTCAAGTCATTCCTTCCAGGGTCAATCCGAGGATTGATTCACTCCAACCAATCAACCAACCCCCTTCTCTACCGCAACCAACCAGGCCTCCACCACAAACCCTAATACCACAACCAACACAACCGCCACAACCAACAACTTCGACTACAACCGGTCCGCCACCAACAGGTATGCAATAGGCTTTCAAAATAACTTTTCTTTTCTGTGATATAGTTCTGTTTAATATGCATGTGTGCAGTTCTCAAATTATTAACAGTTTCATTTCTTTCAATTCACCATTGAGTATAATTTAGATTTCTCACTTTGTTTTGTAACATTATTGACTTTATTTGTTACCTCACTGATGTGTAAATGAATCTATCCTCTCAACTTTAAATTAACAATGTTGGAACTTTCAGCCTATCCGTTTACATGTGAAGGCAAAGGACCAGGATCCTATGCAGATCCATTCGATTGTTCATTCTTTTATACGTGTTCTGGTGGCCGGGCTTCAAGAGTACCTTGTCAGTTTGGATTGTTGTTCAACCCACGTCGTCGTTCTTGTGACTGGGCAAGGAATGTTAACTGTAGACCAGCAGTGTTGGTGACCAGACCAACTACAACTACGACCACAACAACAACGACAACTACAATTGCACCATCGACGACTCGGTCTCCCGAGAGACGCACACCTCCCCCACTGGTTCAACCTGTTCCAAACAGTAACACATTTAGTAATCTTCAGCCCCAACCGACATTTCTTCCTCAACCATCACAACCACAACTAACCCCACCAGCCCAACCCACACGACCACCACAAACAACCACACGGCCCCCACCAACAACTCCTACTACAACTCTCCCGCCGCCTACAGGTATGGATGGTATATTTCTTACCATTAATGCACTAGGAAAAAAGGGAGGAAGTTAACGCATCTGAAGCCGAGACATATGGCCAGCTTTTACTGGCAATACTTTTAAAAAGGTGTCCTAGACTTAATGAGCAGCCCCATTTGATACTATTTGCAACGAAATTAATTAAATTTTTCCTACATTATTTTCATGAAAAAGGTACAAATAAGTCATCAGCTTTTGAATGCGCTACCTTCTTTACTAAAACCAATGAAACGTTTGAGTTGTCCTTTTTTTAACATGACATAAGTTGATTCTTATATTATGGTTGATTGGTAATCTTTTGAATAGTTCCTTTTTAAACTTGCACGTTTAATCTGTATCTCACATTGTCTATATTTGTTTCTGTCCAAGTAGTGTGAAATTGTAGTTTCTATTTACTAATTTCTCATGTCAGAAATTTTGTCAAGGCAAGTCTTTTTGGTGCATGCTAGTATTAAAAAGAATTTTCTAAACTGTAATAACTTCGGTGTCAATTCCAGCCTATCCGTTTACATGTGAGGGCAAAGGACCAGGATCCTATGCAGATCCATTCGATTGTTCCTTCTTTTATACATGTTCTGGTGGTCGGGCTTCAAGAATACCTTGTCAGTTTGGATTGTTGTTCAACCCACGTCGTCGTTCTTGTGACTGGGCAAGGAATGTTAACTGTAGACCAGCAGTGTTGGTGACCAGACCAACAACAACTACGACTACAACAACAACGACAACTACAGTTGCACCATCGACGCCTCGGTCTCCCGAAATACGCATACTTCCTCAACTGGTTCAGCCTGTACCTAATAGTAGTACATTAAATGAACTCCAGCCTCAACCGACAATTCTTTCTCAACCATCACAACCACAACCAACTCCAGCAGCCCAACCCACATCACCACCTCAACCAACCACACTGCCCCCACCCACAACTCCGACTACCACTCTCCCGCCGCCTACAGGTATGGATGGTATATTTCTTACCATTAATGCACTAGACAAAAACGAGGAAGTTGACGCATTTAAATCCGATATATGTATATGACCTGCTATCACCGCCACAACCCTTTTCCAAACCCTCCTACTCTTGAGCAACCCCATACTCCATGTATATGTGGCGACCTTCCTATTAACAAATTCCTTGGTAATAATCATGAAAATAGTACAAATAAGTTATTGGCTTTGAAATGTGTCATCCTCCTTTTAAAAATTAGTGGAATGTTTGGTCTTCCTCTTTTTAACACAAGATAATTTGATTCCTGAATCGTAGATTTTTGTTTGTTTGTTTTACTAATTCATAAGTCAGTCATGTTTGAATTTTTTCAAAGCAAGTCAATTCAGTGCATGCAGGTAATAAACGTCTTTCTTACTTCTCACTCTGATATTCTTAACTGTAATAACTTCGGTGTCAATTCCAGCCTATCCGTTTACGTGCGAGGGCAAAGGACCAGGATCCTATGCAGATCCTTTTGATTGTTCCTTCTTTTATACGTGTTCTGGTGGTCGGGCTACAAGAATACCTTGTCAGTTTGGATTGTTGTTCAACCCACGTCGTCGTTCTTGTGACTGGGCAAGGAATGTTAACTGTAGACCAGCAGTGTTGGTGACCAGGCCAACTACAACTACGACCACAACAACAACTCAACCAACAACTCGACCAACAACTACTAACACCCAACGACAAAACGTTCCTCTCCAACCTACACCGCCACTGATACCGACACTATCTCCTCGAGAAACCATCCCGCCTCAACCGCCACTACAACAAACTCCCCAACCCCCATCAACAACCACAACCAACCCAACCACTACAACTACCGACCCACCGCCAACAGGTAGGCATGGGCCATATATATATATATATATATATATATATATATATATATATATATATATATATATATATACTATCGGATCGGCATGAGAGTTGATGAGAGTTTCAATGATTTTATCTGTAGTGAATGTAACAACCTTCCTAACAAAATGTTAAGATTGTACATTTTTATTTTTGCATGAAATGTAATAATTTAAAGTTGTGATGTTAGTTTTTCTGTTTTTATCGAGTAAATACTTTGTTCTACTGCATGTATCTTAACCCTTCTGGCATGTACGTTGAGAGAATAGAAGCGATTGATTTGAACTCCATAGAACACCTAACATTTAGATATTTCTAGAATGATTATTATGACTAGTTTACATCTTCTTGAAGATTTTCTTGGTAGATGAGTTTAACAATGGTCTAACGTGTAGCAACAGTCCTCCTGTAAGCCCACCCTTTGACCGTGAAAAGTCGATGTTTCAAAACCAACGGCCGCAGGTTACAATGCCCACTGTACAAAAATGCTCCCGCAGACAGGCGAGATACTGGCAAGAGGTTCACCAAAGACATGGGAGTAAAAATAACACATTTTACTGTTTTCTTCCAGCTTTGCCATTCACGTGCCAGGGCAAACCATCAGGATTTTTCGCGGATCCATTTGACTGTTCAGCCTTTTACATTTGTAACGGCGGCCAGGAAAGACGTGTTCAGTGCCAGGGAACTCTGCTGTACAACCCAAATATCCAGTCTTGCGACTGGCCAGCCAGGGTCCAATGTAGGCCAGCTGTTTTGGTCACTCCAGCACCAACCCCCGCTCCGACCACTAGGCCCCCACCGCCTCCACAACCAACAGCGCCACCTGCAGGTAGGATCGGGGCTCTGTCTTTTTTTACCGGTTAGGCGTTCGTGCTAAATGAAATGATACACTTGTCTTGTATATACTATATACGTATGTACTAGTTGTGCACTAACCGATGTCATATTATGTTTTATATACGATAACTAATGTTATATTCCGTTATAACACTGTTCTAACCTGGGAAATGTTGCCTAGTCTACTGTTATAAACTACATTGGAGGATAGGTTATGGATGTAATTATACGTGAAATGCTTTGACCAGTATGAGGCACTGTTTATAGACCGTTTGATAGATAGCACCGTAAGTAAACCAATTACTAGTGCAGCCGCATTAACCTAACTGCTTTCTTGATCCCATGGTTGCTTTTCTTGAAGTAAAATATTAGAAGTTAATAATAGATCTGTCTTTAACAAATGTCTAACTCTGCTTTAAAATTTTACTGCATTTTTATATTTTTCAAATACTTTCTTTATTAATGAGTTCATTGCGGATACGCAAGACTGATTCTTAAGTGTCGTAGTCGTGCTTGATTGTTACGTTTGGTTGTGAGCTTTTAATGACAAATTTGGAGACCTAATTAAAAAATGCTGTAACCGCTCGCTTTCTATCGTAATATGTTTGCATTTAATTTTGATTAAAGAAACAGCCAATGTGAGATCAGTTAATACATTAATTGGATTAGGATTTATTTCACAACATTAACAAAGCTGTTATGTCTACACTTGATTGCATTAGTGGATGTAGGATATTACAAAACACTCCCCCTATCCCGGGAAGTATTTTTTTAAATTAAGTGCATGAAATAAGGCTTTAGGCCCACAGTGGGGTAACTCCTTTACCCCTTTCTGCTTAAAAAAAGGGTGGTCCTCCTCTAGACCAACGTTTTGTATTGTGTTGTTTGGATTTAATAAAATGTTTATTATACGTCGTAATGTGTTATTTCGCCTAAAATACCTGGTAGTTGATATTTTTCAAATATATCTTGTCTCAAATATAAATTCCTTTCAATGATAGCAAATGCAGAATATAGGAAGTAGTCAGATATTCAGCAGCTAAGCATAGTTGTTTTAGATGTAAAATCGTGATAAGCGTGGTATGGTTTCAAGGCTTTTTCTTATTTTTACACCCCGACTTTTGCCGTTTCACTGCTATCTTAATATTGCCCTTCCCAGCAAACACAGAACGTTTTATAACGTTGCCATTACGTGACCATATCGTTCTTTGGTCAAAAAAACGTTATGGTAACGTTATTTTAACGTTCAGTGTTAGCTGGGTTTCGCATTCTACCTTAAGTATCACAAAGGACGTACATGTTAATGAAAAGAGCTATCAGGACACCAAAGAAATCGAAGCTTTGGGTTCAAATTTTATCTTATCGGCTACCTTATAAAATTTATAGTTTTTATTGAATTGCTTGCAAATGGTAAGTAAATATTTCAATGGATAGTCGATCGTTAACTGCCAATATTAGAAGAACAATCTATATGTATTTTAAACAGGACTCTGAGATGCGCTTTTGAAAGAAGGTTTAAAGAGTTCGTAGTTTCTCGCGTCGCAACAGTCGGTATGTATTTGACTGTTTTACAAAATTTAAGCTGCAAATACAAATCGTTAGCCATGAGTTGGAAAAAACGACAAACCGATCTTTTATTAAGTAAGAATTCCACAAATGAAGTATTTTTGCAGGACCTACATTTTCCTGTGCCGGAAGACGTGGCACCTTCGCCGACCCAGCAGACTGTTCCTATTTCTACGTCTGTGCAGGATCTCTAGAACAACGCATACAGTGTGTTGATGGGAGACTTTATAATACGGTCACTGGGTCCTGTGATCTGCCCAACATAGTGGACTGTAGCCTTAACCTAGCTACTGCTGTCACAACCCGTCGTGTGCCGGTAACAACAAGGAGACCGAGGACAACTACAAGGAGACCTACAACAACTACAAGGGGTATGTACATATCAGATCAATAAGATAAAGGTTGCTCGGCCAACACGCCTGACAGCCCTGACGGGACTTTTGTGGGCTGTGCTTCCTATGGGTTGCACTGTTTCATTGGTCTAAGCACCATACTATCCACCTGCAAGCCCAGGTGGGGTGCCTAAATGAAAGCCACAAATAGCTGCAGAAATGCCCCAGCTGCGCAAGCTGGCAGGGTAATATACAACTACAACCTTGTACTGAAACCAACTGTAAAGTGAATGTTAACAGAGTAACCAAACACAAGGGCTTTCAGCTGTCATTTTAGATCACAATAATTGCTAATATTACCATTGTTTTAAAAGAGGGCATATTAGAAGTAATATGTAAAAAAGAATTCCAGTAAATTGTACTTTCATCAATAGAAACGACAACAACTAGTCGTACTACAACCACTACAACTAGAGGACCTCTTCCCACTACCACGACAGGTACGTGAACTGATTTGAATAAGATTATAAAGAACAACGTTTCTTCAATCATGATAGGAAAACCCCACACCAAGTTATATCGAGAGCGATTTGTTGTACATGGTGTAAATCATTTTCAATTCAGGACATTAATTTTGTAAGAATACCCATGATGTAATCGGACACGTTCATCATAGAATTTTCCAAGAAGTTGGATATTTATTTTCTTTGTCACTATAAAGTACGTAGATCACTTGCCTTAGTATGCTTTTTTGTATTCATGCAGCGGAATCAATAGCTCGAGCATCGCATTATTCGCCTATACACCACCGCTTTCACCCCATATGTATCTGTTGCTTCAATCTTGATAAGGTATTGCTGCTTCATATACGCTTAATTCACACACGACCACTCATAGATCTTTGTACATGTAACTTCCCGATTTGATATTTGCATGGTTTATCTCTGTAAGCTTTCTTTCAATCGGTTGGCTCGGCGTGGTCCTCTTGCTTTTTCAAATACGTGTCAAATGTATTTCTGGATTATATTCAGATGTCTTTTAGTCGGTATTTCTTGGCGCATGGTTAGTCTACGGCAACTTCTGTTGATGCAGGGTTTTGTAGTATTTATGCTATTTCGTTGTTCTTGGTAGCTCCAGGTGTCTCTGAGGTCGATTAGGTCTCTTTCATAATGCTAAATAATTCAGATATATTTGGCAAACCTCCTTGCCATGCCGCTTAAGCAAAATACATCATATAAATGGCTTAAATGCCTGTGGCAAGCTGCTTTAACCCGGAAAGGTGGTCTTATATTAAATATCTTTACAAAACCCGGGGGGCATATCTAGAAGTCTATTTTTTCGAATGCAGCAGCACCATCACAGTCGCCTTGTGCTGGCTGGTCTGGTACTCTTCCCGACCCTAACAGCTGCTCAGGCTATATCCTATGTGATGGCCCAGTACCCCAGCACTTTCAGTGTCCAGAAGGGAGATTGTATAACTTCATAATAGGAACTTGCGATCTGCCTGAATACGTGGACTGTCCCATCGGGTCATCCACTACATCTACAACGGCGGCAACTTACAAAGAGCTCTCTCTCGTTGAAAGAACTTTGCCGACTGTACCTTCCACTCAACCAAATGATTCATATTTAATCATACCAAGGGCATCAGGTAAAAGTATTGGACTGCTTTGATAGTTGTAAAAAAGTTTTTTGAAGGTTTTATGGTAAGTTTAATGGGGGAAGATACTAGTATACTCACTTGCATTAAATTTGTAAGAGCTTGGGAATTACAAAGAGTATCCATTATAGCCCAGAACTGTACTGTTCAATTTTAAGTTTAGATTATGATTGTGATGCATGCCATATTTTGAAAAGTATTATTTCAAAAAAATTAAACCTCAATATCGGTCACCAATGTGCAAAATTATACCCAGGCAGTAACAAAACACTCTCGGCATGGACAATACTTAATCAGCACCAAATCATAATGTCTTCATGTAATGTACTACCATCACATCTTCATAAAACAACAAAACTAATCGGCTCTCCACTTAACATACAACAAAATGTTACTACACAAACTGTCGCTAGATTACCAGTCATGCAGTACCCACCAAAAAATAACTATCAAAAACAATACTAAATGAAATATTTTATTTATTTAATATAGCAACCACAACTACAACACCGCGTCCAACCACCACGACTACCATCCCTCCTGCTCCTACAGGTAAAACAATTAATTGTGAAAAAAATCATTAGAAGAAATTACCTTTTCTCAACCACCATAAATACTGTAAATATTGTTAGCATACTTTATGACTAAATACCTTATTCTTCAACTTTTGTAAGAAGAAACCAATTGCTATTTGTAAATTAACTGTGTACTTCACAGTTGTATAGTTATCATTTTTGTAGATTAGTGATTGACAATGTGAAGTTGTTGATCTGTTTCAGTTCCTCCGTTCACTTGCAACAACAGAGCAAGTGGAACTTACGCTGATCCTTTCGATTGCACAGCTTTCTACATATGTTCTGGTGCAAATGAACTGCGCATTCCTTGCTCGGGGAATCTGCGATTTAACCCCCGTTTAGGAGGCTGTGATTCTCCGGCTAACGTCGGCTGTGTAGAAGTGACGACGCCACCCCCAACTCTGCCGCCAACTACCACCCGGCCGCCTCCAACTACAACTACCACGAGAGCAACTACTACTACTACAAGGGCAACAACAACAACAACAACCAGGAGACCGACCACACAGAGACCTACGACAACAGTGCCCCCTACCCCTGCAAGACCAACAGGTATGCCCCCCTTTAGACAGATAATGATTGTTATAAACAACGAACTAGGGTTGAGTTACGTTTGCTTAATCATAGGGAATTGTCAACCGCAGTCATCAATCAAAATATGAAACATGCTGGTGTATAATAGACCAAGCTGCTTCAATCAATAACGATCTTGTCGACTGACACACCAGCTATAAAGTTCGCCTCTTTTCATCCTGGAACGAACAATTATCGTATAACTATGATCAACAACAGAGACGTATACCAGGCCATTACCAACAACTTATACACCAGTAGAGTGAATTATATAAGTAATTTTAGTGAAAAGTCTAAATCCTACACAGACAACACATCGAAGGTGCTTGACCATGATCTTTCTAATGACACATACCTTACCATTTTTTTATGAAAGTTGAGCATTCAATTATGCATTTTAATTGAATTATTACCCTTTCTAAGACTTCCCATCAAATTGTTTTAAGTGAAATAATACGTTAATGTATAAGCGAGGCATCTCATCACATGTAATCGAAATATTTATCTTTTTCAGCATTACCATTTACTTGTAACAACAGGGCAAGTGGAACATACCCCGATCCATTCGATTGCAGGGCTTTCTACATTTGCTCTGGGGGCAGAGAGATACGCATTCCTTGTTCGGGATCTTTCCGTTACAACCCCCGCATCGGGAGCTGTGATCTGGCGCGCAATACCGACTGTGTAGAAGCTATTCTTGTTTCACCTACCACCACCACCCGAGCACCTACTACCACCACCCGAGCAACTACTACAACCACCCGACCACCAACTACTACTACTACCACCCCTGCACCAACTACCACACGGGCACCAACCACACAAAGGCCTACAACTCCAGTGCCTACAGGTATGATATTTTAGGACTTTTTTGATTAATGGACATTAATCAAGAGTGCTGCACCTTTGTAGTTTTCTTCTTTGCTTTTCACTAACTACATATATATCATAATTTGTAAGCAATTTTCAATTTACTTTAGCGGCACCATTCAGCTGCATTGGAAGAGCAAGTGGGACATACCCAGATCCCTTTGACTGCTCGGCATTTTACATATGTTCTGGACGACGTGAACTTCGAATCCCTTGTTCAGGAGGTTTGCGCTACAATCCAAGAATTGGGGGCTGTGATTCCCCGCAGAATGTAAACTGCGTAGAAGCTGCGACATTGCCACCAACACGTCCTACAACAACCACTAGGAGACCAACGACCACCAGGAGACCTACGACCACTAGGCGACCAACGACCACCAGGCGACCTACAACCACGAGGCGACCGACCACCACCAGACCCACAACGACTGCCGCAGCACCCTCAGGTAACATATATTTCAAAATTGAATATCTTTAGAGCAATCACCGTCAATTTACATGTATAATGCTTGAATGAAAGCGTTGTATTTCAGCCGGTTTAGAACAATGCTAAACTCGTCTCAGTTTCACGGCTAGATGCTAGAGGCGCCACCTAGATGTCAATCACAGAGGTGTATCTCGTCTGAAACCTGTGTAAACATCCTCATCAATTCTCACAAAATGTTCTAAAGGATATATATCTAAACTATATCAAGACAAGCAGTACAACAGCACTTACAATCTTACATTTACAGTTACATTAAAATGTTAAGGTATAAACAGCCATTAATTCATTTCAGTTGCAGCATTTAGTTGTAACAACAGACCAAGCGGAACCTACGCTGATCCATTCGATTGTACTGCTTTCTACATTTGTTCTGGCTCACGCCAACTACGCATCCCTTGCACTGGAAACTTGAGGTACAATCCTCGTGTCGAGAGCTGCGACTCTCCGCAGAATGTCAACTGTGTGGAGATAACGACACTGCCTCCAACCTTCCCTCCAGTCACCACTCGAGCACCAACAACTACCACCAGGGCAACTACTACCACGCCGGCACCGACTACAACCCAGGCGCCAACAACACGAAGAAGGACAACAACAGCTAGGCCACCTCCAGCAGGTATGGTGCAGATATTAATAATATAAATATTGAAATGTGTATATAAATACTGAAATCTTTTAATGATTTGATTCAAGTTTTAACTGAAGCTGGTAACATTTTCCCTTTATTTCAGCTGCTGCATTTAGTTGCAACAACAGGGCTAGTGGTACTTATGCCGACCCGTTTGATTGTTCGGCCTTTTATATTTGCTCCGGTGGCAGAGCGCTTCGTATCCCATGTTCGGGAAATCTGCAATACAATGCTCGTCTCGGAAGTTGTGATTCACCAGGCAATGCAAACTGCGTGGTAACAGCCCTCCGAACGACACCAGCGCCGAGAACAACAAGAAGACCAACGACCAGGGCACCAGTTACCACTCGGGCACCGACCACCACAAGAGCACCAGTTACCACTCGGGCGCCGGTTACTGCCGCACCCCAAGGTATGCACTGTACTAAAAAAAGAAAAAAAGAAATTCGTTCAGAAAAAAAAACTCATTCACAAATTGTTATATGTATCCATCACTAAATCGTTTCTTTGTTTCAAATTTATATATGTTGAACCGAAGACAACCAGACTGTGAAAAATTCATGTCCATTTAAATCCCATCACGAGAAGTTTACATTCTATTCTTTTCAACTAAAATTACTTAAGCTTTTTTACGTATATTTGTTACTTCTAGCTACACAATTCACTTGCACGGACAGAGCCAATGGACTTTACGCCGATCCGACGGATTGTGCTGCTTTCTTCATATGTTCTGGAGGGAGTACGCTTCGCATTCCTTGCACTGGAACCTTGCTGTACAACCCCAGTATTGAGAGCTGCGATGCCCCAACTAATGTCAACTGTGCTGGTGCTGTCGCTGCACCTACAAATCGACCGCCAAGTAATAATAATGATAATATATTTATTTAGTGTCTAGAGTCTTTAATTCATTAATATATGTTGAGTAAACTTTACATATAAAACACAAAGTTTTAAAGGATTATTTTTAATGAAAAAATATGGAATTAAAAGTAAAGAAAATTTTCAATCATAAGATTTTCTAAAAAGATAAGTTTTAGTGCTTTTTGTTTAGTTCTGATGGTAACTGATCGCATTCCCAAAATATTTTCTCCAAGTTTTTTAATAATTAGTCCTTAGAGCTTAAAGAGATAATAACTCTTCGTATGAGATCTATATTTCACAATAAAAATATTGTGAACAACTCATAGAAATATAATATATTCTGTTTTACCACAAAAACGGCAGTTATAGCTATTATTCTGATATCTGAGCTTGTGTTTAGACCACGTGACCTCCATTGATGGCTATTCTCTGTTAAAATCTCTTAACAGATTTTAACAAAAAAAACAAACTTTTTAGAAAAAAACCAGAGTCTAACTTTGAATGTAAAAATGGATTCATTAACCATTGATAAGTATGGGAAAATTGTTGTTTACTCCAGGAAAATTAATTTTTTGGCCGACACGAAGAGTTATTATCCCTTGAACGTGTGATTTGTTGTATTCTGAGATACAAGTTTACAGAGATAATCTGGTGCAAGTCCACAAAAAGCCGCATGTGCGTATTTCAAAAGTTTGAATAAAATCCATGCATTTACAAGTTGCCAGTGAAGTTTTTTTCACATCGGTGTCATGTGATTCCCATAAAAATTTGGAGTAAGAAGACAAGCTGAGATATTTTGGATGCCTGAGATATTTTGGAGTTTCTTTGTTCTTACGATGCTGCAACCATAGAGCAAGGAGTTAAAGTAGACAAGCTTTGAAGTTACTGCAGTAGGGCATTGATGACCGTGACAGTGGCAGAGTTGGTTACACTGTTGTGCAGAGCCCGGGTGTCTTTGATGCTTGAATGATTTTTACTTCGGCTATCTTATCTGTTTATTCATGGTAAATGAGGTATCAAAGTAACCATTTTTGCGTGGGGTGAAACGCCTAATGTTGAAGATCCAATAGTATTTCAGCTAAGTGTTTATGTTGTGGTTGATTGATAACCATAAATTCCATCATTTAATATTATTTTCTTTTTATCATTCATCCTCGCAAATCTGAAATTACATTTGTCACTTTGATCATTGTACACTCATTAATATCACAGTTAGGTATAACTGAGTGCCTTCTGCATATATGTTATAGCCAGTGTTATGAAATCGAAGTATGGCACCCCAGGTCAGGTTGTGAATGCAAAATGAAACTGAACCAAGAATACAGTCCTGTGGACCACCGAAGATGAGTTGCTCAAGGTCAGAAAGTATAATGTCGATGGACCGCAGAANCCACAGTCAGGTATAACTGAGTGCCTTCTGCATATATGTTATAGCCAGTGTTATGAAATCGAAGTATGGCACCCCAGGTCAGGTTGTGAATGCAAAATGAAACTGAACCAAGAATACAGTCCTGTGGACCACCGAAGATGAGTTGCTCAAGGTCAGAAAGTATAATGTCGATGGACCGCAGAATGATTGCAGAATGACTGCAAACAGAAGGCCGTTCATTATTTTCAAAAGCGGAAGTTCAGTGTTATGTTTCGGTTTATGCATTTTACCGCTATTTTTTGTTGCTGTTTCAGATGCTCAAATAGCCTTGTTGGAATGACTCATTTGCTGAGAAAGATTTCCTGAGAAAGACCTTTTTTGTTCTAAGGCACTATGGCCTAATAAATGGCACTATGACCTAATAAATGGTCCCTTTATTTGCGTTGATTGCGGAACTCTGAATAAACATATATACGGTGAAAATAAGTAATGATCCTGAGATTGCTAGTGCTTCACTATATTCACACTTGCAACATAAATACTAATGCAGTTAAAATAGGTGTTGCACACTTTCAGGGATTTGAGCTTCACTCCTTTTACTGCTTACCCTTGGTACATCTTGCGTCCTCTAAGCTGTTCTTGTCATCGATAAGACTGGCCTGTATCAGAATCAAGGGGTTGTTTTACTTTTTAGCTGCACCTGTCACCAATCCTCCAGCCACGGCTCCCCCGACAACAGTCCAGACATCGCCAAGGAACAGTGGAGAGACAATCAGTGAGCACATTTTATTCTTTATAGAAAATTGTATTCTCGACTTTATGTACTTCAAACAGTTGTACACTAGTAATGTGTAAAATGTTTTGCATTGAAATATATGTCTGCAATGTTAAAGGGACTGTTCAAATTTCCTTATCGTTATTGTTTTTATAATCATAATTAATAGAAAGAGAAATTTGAAATTACGTCTAACATTTTACCTCCTCTCCTCAAGGTCCAGCAGAATTTTGTTCAAGTCGGTCTTCAGGCAGGTATGCAGATCCCGCTGATTGTACCTTCTTCTACACGTGCTCGCGTGGCACAGGGCGAAGAAGCCGCTGCGTCGGCGTGCTCAAGTTTAATGCCAATATAGGAGCGTGTGACTGGCCGCGTAATGTCAACTGTTGAGGTGAAAAAAGACATCAGCGCCATTAAAAATCTAAAGTGATGCGAGGATCGACATAAGAATAATATATACATGTAGATGAAAGACACTTGCGGGACAAGTTGAAGGTTTAGAGCGCATTCATCTTCATCCTTGGAGAAAGACTCATTAAAGATAACCAGCGCGACTTGACATAAAGAAGGGTCACAGTTATTTCTCTGTCCTTCGTGGTGATGAACTCAAATGTGCGTTAATGTACCGCAGAATCCGAATGTAAATTGAGGTGAAAGCATCTGTTCAGTTGTTTAATGATGGCTATGTATTACTTGTTGATAGGAAAATAAAAATTCAAATGATTTTTAAACTATTATGAGTCATCAAGTGTTTTAGAATTTGTTAATTAACTGATACAAGTAGCACTTTCAATCACATGTCCCATACGTGTAATTATTCGTGTTTCGTGCGTTACAAGTGCTATACCCGGCAAATGTCATCTGAATTTACCCGTTTTTCACCGTACATCTTGATATCGATGGTTTTCAATTCACTTAGCATAAAATTTGTATGACGATTAATTTAAATTTCCTACTTTAAAAGGAGTCTTTTTTAAATGGACTTGTATTATGAATAAAACGCTTTTAATGTACCAGAACCACGCGTTTATTGCGCTTAACATTTGTTACGGTAAAATAAAAAGTATTGAGTACAAAGACAGCTTTATATTTGCGTCAAAATAGCAGAGCTATTATACAAAGTAAGCCATGCCGAGAGTATTAATGACTGAAAACACCATAAAGGCGGGCACATGACTAATACACTAACGTGTTAACACTAAGGTCAAAATAGGTTGACTCTGTAAAATTTGCATATTGTGAGAATAGAAGTGGATACGCCCAGACTGCTTATAATTGTCTACACATATATGTATTTGTAAGGTTTTATGTGACAAAATCACCGAAAATGAATTAAATTTAAAACGAAGCAGGTTTTATTTTATTTTTTTTTACTTTTATTCAAAACAACAGACATCGTGATAAGGATGCTTCATACTAAACAAAAATGCCAAAATGCAATTCATTGTTTCCAGGCAGACAAGTACTCAAAAGAAAAATCGAAAGCTATTATAAAGCTATGGGTGAAGCGCATGAAAACATTTTTTTCATAAACTTTCAAGGTAATTTGACAGCCACAAAATCTGCATTTGTCTTTTAAACGAAATACATCGATAATGCGCATGTGGGACTGAATTTAAGCACTGAGAAATTTGTCAATAATTTTTCACCACCCTATACCTGAATCCTTAATAGTCATTTAAAAGTATCCATGTGATAGTAAAGAGCTACTTTAAAAGTAAAATGAGATTTAAGTCACGGTAGTTGCACAGGGGCTTCTTCACTTCACATTCGTTATCATGAGAGAAGCGCCCTCTTAGAGTTACATCGTGCCAAAAGTAATTCTTCCCAATTTTTGTAAAATAGCTTCAACAATTTAAAACGGGTGCCAGGCCAAGGAATACAGAGATTGATCCAAATGGCGGAAAGAAGGCCAAGCCTGTGATACATTTTGATTACAAAACAGGAACACGTATTTCAATCACTGAGAGAGAAAATCGCACAACCAAACCAAGGTAGGCCCTGTTAGTAAAATATATAACCAAAGAGAACTTTTTCAATTAATTTACAAGATATTTAATCAATAATCTTGACAACGATCAATGTGCCATAAAATTAACTATTTTTTATGTTTATAACAGACAATTGTTATTTTATATTATTTTTTACTGTTACTGAAGCAATCAAACCAACCGATGGGGGGGGGGGGGGGGGGGTCGCCCTCCCTTCCCAAAAGGGGGGGGTTTTCCCCCCCAATTTAAAAACCCCGGNATCACAGTTAGGTATAACTGAGTGCCTTCTGCATATATGTTATAGCCAGTGTTATGAAATCGAAGTATGGCACCCCAGGTCAGGTTGTGAATGCAAAATGAAACTGAACCAAGAATACAGTCCTGTGGACCACCGAAGATGAGTTGCTCAAGGTCAGAAAGTATAATGTCGATGGACCGCAGAATGATTGCAGAATGACTGCAAACAGAAGGCCGTTCATTATTTTCAAAAGCGGATGTTCAGTGTTATGTTTCGGTTTATGCATTTTACCGCTATTTTTTGTTGCTGTTTCAGATGCTCAAATAGCCTTGTTGGAATGACTCATTTGCTGAGAAAGATTTCCTGAGAAAGACCTTTTTTGTTCTAAGGCACTATGACCTAATAAATGGTCCCTTTATTTGCGTTGATTGTGGAACTCTGAATAAACATATATACGGTGAAAATAAGTAATGATCCTGAGATTGCTAGTGCTTCACTATATTCACACTTGCAACATAAATACTAATGGAGTTAAAATAGGTGTTGCACACTTTCAGGGATTTGAGCTTCACTCCTTTTACTGCTTACCCTTGGTACATCTTGCGTCCTCTAAGCTGTTCTTGTCATCGATAAGACTAGCCTGTATCAGAATCAAGGGGTTGTTTTACTTTTTAGCTGCACCTGTCACCAATCCTCCAGCCACGGCTCCCCCGACAACAGTCCAGACATCGCCAAGGAACAGTGGAGAGACAATCAGTGAGCACATTTTATTCTTTATAGAAAATTGTATTCTCGACTTTATGTACTTCAAACAGTTGTACACTAGTAATGTGTAAAATGTTTTGCATTGAAATATATGTCTGCAATGTTAAAGGGACTGTTCAAATTTCCTTATCGTTATTGTTTTTATAATCATAATTAATAGAAAGAGAAATTTGAAATTACGTCTAACATTTTACCTCCTCTCCTCAAGGTCCAGCAGAATTTTGTTCAAGTCGGTCTTCAGGCAGGTATGCAGATCCCGCTGATTGTACCTTCTTCTACACGTGCTCGCGTGGCACGGGGCGAAGAAGCCGCTGCGTCGGCGTGCTCAAGTTTAATGCCAATATAGGAGCGTGTGACTGGCCGCGTAATGTCAACTGTTGAGGTGAAAAAAGACATCAGCGCCATTAAAAATCTAAAGTGATGCGAGGATCGACATAAGAATAATATATACATGTAGATGAAAGACACTTGCGGGACAAGTTGAAGGTTTAGAGCGCATTCATCTTCATCCTTGGAGAAAGACTCATTAAAGATAACCAGCGCGACTTGACATAAAGAAGGGTCACAGTTATTTCTCTGTCCTTCGTGGTGATGAACTCAAATGTGCGTTAATGTACCGCAGAATCCGAATGTAAATTGAGGTGAAAGCATCTGTTCAGTTGTTTAATGATGGCTATGTATTAATTGTTGATAGGAAAATAAAAATTCAAATGATTTTTAAACTATTATGAGTCATCAAGTGTTTTAGAATTTGTTAATTAACTGATACAAGTAGCACTTTCAATCACATGTCCCATACGTGTAATTATTCGTGTTTCGTGCGTTACAAGTGCTATACCCGGCAAATGTCATCCGAATTTACCCGTTTTTCACCGTACATCTTGATATCGATGGTTTTCAATTCACTTAGCATAAAATTTGTATGACGATTAATTTAAATTTCCTACTTTAAAAGGAGTCTTTTTTAAATGGACTTGTATTATGAATAAAACGCTTTTAATGTACCAGAACCACGCGTAAATTGCGCTTAACATTTGTTACGGTAAAATAAAAAGTATTGAGTACAAAGACAGCTTTATATTTGCGTCAAAATAGCAGAGCTATTATACAAAGTAAGCCATGCCGAGAGTATTAATGACTGAAAACACCATAAAGGCGGGCACATGACTAATACACTAACGTGTTAACACTAAGGTCAAAATAAGTTGACTCTGTAAAATTTGCATATTGTGAGAATAGAAGTGGATACGCCCAGACTGCTTATAATTGTCTACACATACATGTATTTGTAAGGTTTTATGTGACAAAATCACCGAAAATGAATGAAATTTAAAACGAAGTGTAACAGCAGGTTTTATTTTATTTTTTTTTACTTTTATTCAAAACAACAGACATCGTGATAAGGATGCTTCATACTAAAGAAAAATGCCAAAATGCAATTCATTGTTTCCAGGCAGACAAGTACTCAAAAGAAAAATCGAAAGCTATTATAAAGCTATGGGTGAAGCGCATGAAAACATTTTTTTCATAAACTTTCAAGGTAATTTGACAGCCACAAAATCTGCATTTGTCTTTTAAACGAAACACATCGATAATGCACATGTGGGACTGAATTTAAGCACTGAGAAATTTGTCAATAATTTTTCACCACCCTATACCTGAATCCTTAATAGTCATTTAAAAGTATCCATGTGATAGTAAAGAGCTACTTTAAAAGTAAAATGAGATTTAAGTCACGGTAGTTGCACAGGGGCTTCTTCACTTCACATTCGTTATCATGAGAGAAGCGCCCTCTTAGAGTTACATCGTGCCAAAAGTAATTCTTCCCAATTTTTGTAAAATAGCTTCAACAATTTAAAACGGGTGCCAGGCCAAGGAATACAGAGATTGATCCAAATGGCGGAAAGAAGGCCAAGCCTGTGATACATTTTGATTACAAAACAGGAACACGTATTTCAATCACTGAGAGAGAAAATCGCACAACCAAACCAAGGTAGGCCCTGTTAGTAAAATATATAACCAAAGAGAACTTTTTCAATTAATTTACAAGATATTTAATCAATAATCTTGACAACGATCAATGTGCCATAAAATTAACTATTTTTTATGTTTATAACAGACAATTGTTATTTTATATTATTTTTTACTGTCGTCCTCCCTTCCCAGAAGGGGGTGGTTATCCTCCACAATTATAAACCCCTGGTAACTGGTATGACTCTTTCAGATGCACATGTACATGAAAATTAAACTAAAATTAGAATAAGATACTGTCATAATAGCTACGTTCTATCTCCAAGCATGCATTTTCTGCGCCAGCAGTCATTTTTACTTTATATCAGCATATAGATAATTCAACTTAAATAATGTTAGTTTTAAGTCAAAAGAGAATGATTTCTGGCTTAGGCTTAAAATTCTACAAGTGTGAATGTTGCCCATTACTCTAACTTCCGTTATTTAATTTCACCCTTAATTTTTCTCATGCAATGACAAATAGATGGATATTTCGTATAACATTTTATACAGATAAAAAAGTGGTAAAATCTATTTTACCCGGCCAAATAACATGGCCTGTGGTAGGACAGGTTGTCTTCATTTATCCTCCCCATTGAGGTATATTGCATGTCCCATAAATCATGTCGACAGCTATTTTACACTACTGCGTACTAGAAAGGGGACGAACCACTCGAAATCTCACTTTTTTTGTACATGTAAAATGAATACATATAAATAAATATACATGTAGTCTACTTTGTCTTTATAACATTATAATAATAAACATGAAAACAAAACTCTAGCATAGTTTTGAATATACACGTATTTGTTATGAGTTTACTTGATTTATGAAAAAAGAAGTGAACAACCTGTGTGCTTAATGCTTAGTACATTGTACATGGAAGCTTCTGAATTGGACTCCAGTAACATGTGGACCTATATGTCACAGCTATGCACAAGAATGTCAAACACCCGTTCAATATTTGCGGAGATGCTGCCTGTGGTAACCAGCATTGGCGGAAACAACCCTTACGAACATTATTATATTGATACTTAGTCAAAATATCTGTGTGTGTGTGTGTGTGGGGGGGGGGATTGGGTGGGTTTATTCATTCCGATAAATGTATTTAAGTAAAACTTCACATTAAAATTAGTTATTCAAAGGCTGTCATTCAAACTTTTCAACGCCACAAATAATGCATAAATTGAACTTAAAACCGATCCTTTTTTATTTTACAATTGTCGCACCATCTTTATAGCCTACTTATAAAGGTTGACAACCTGTTATTGCATGTGATGCCGCTTAAAGGAATCTAATCTGAAAATTTCCTGGAATTTTCCTGGAAAAAAGAAAATTTACTCACGAATTAGTGCTCGGTCCGCTCCTGCACTTGGATTAGATCTTTTATACAATTTCTATTATAAAATAATCTAGTTTAGAATTTGTTTCTTAACGTTTAGACCGCCATGTTTCCTGTACATTTCAGGAGGCAATTCTTTACCTTTTAGAAATACAAAACGAGTATAATAGTGGTTTACCATTGTTCCCGTGTTCCTTTTTGCCACCTGAAGATGGACACTATGTATGTATTTTGTTTAAATATGTTCTGTACATATTTTAGATGAAACACTTGGAATTGGTGGCAGTGGCATTACTTAATCTCATTCTTCCTTCATTTCCTGGTAAGTGTATCACCATAAGGATTATTTCACAGTATCTCATTATTTAGAATGCCTTGATAGACCCTTTTTGTCCAAACTATTGCCGTTATCAAAATAAATTAATAGTCGTTGATTGACTAACCGCATAAGATTTACAACATTGGACGTTTTGAAATTGAGTGCTATATCTTTTAAGACCTAACATATCAGTAAAATTATCATACAATGTATAACAGTTGTGAGCATGCAACAAGTATGAAGAATGTTTATTGTACCTTTTGCTTAGTTCATTTAAGATAATTTAAATGAAAAAAAGATGTACCTAACCCCTTTCTCTTTATGCAAGGTGCTTTTAAAAGGTGAGATAAATTGTTTTTGTAACAGCTATGAAAAAACCAATGCATATAACAAACACCAATTCGGCTGTAATTTTATGTATAGGTTTGCGTGCAACATTTTCATGTTTATAATACTAGATCATGTTTTATATTTAAAAGTACTTTCATTCAGTAGAAACAGCAGAATTCAGACGTGTCTGTTACTACGCAAACTGGAGCGTGTACAGGACTGGTGATTCAAAGTTTTTGATAGAGTTGTTGGACCTTAGTGCTTGCACCCACGCCATCTATGCTTTTGCAACTCTTGTGAATGGCCAGCTGGCACCATCCGAATGGAACGACGACATTACCTACCCTCAGAGTAAGTTTATAATTCAATTATATTACTGTTAATTTCTTTGTAGGTTCGCACTAGTAAGTAACCTCATCGACATTATAATTTTGTTAGATTAGAATCTGATGATGTGGAAAGCAGAACGAAAAGACACCGCCAGCTAACCTTGTCGTTTCAGTTTGTTGTCCGACTAACTATGATATCAAGAATCACTATATGAATTTGTTTTTATCATATTACCAGATGAAGCTTTTGATCACTTTTGATAGAAGAAATACGCTAAAGAATTAAGATTCCTTCATCAGTAGGAATGTGCATTCAGGATGTGTTTTCCGATATTTCTTCTGTATTGTTTTTATCGCATTCTGAGGGAGAAATTGCAGTGCGTGCATCATTTTGATATATTATATAGATTTTTACTTTTCAGGGCATTTCTTTGGAGGTAAAACTTTTATTATTTTCTACAGGCGATTCCTTTTTTACACCCGATATTAACTGTAAATATGTTTGGAATTAATTAACAAAAAAAAAAAAAAATTATTATGCGCCCTTGTAATTCTTTAAATCTGTCACTCTCTTATAGGCCTATATATTTTTATAACTGTTCTTGTTGTTTTCAGCTGGGCTATCTTCCCATGTATGCGATGTCACTATCTACCACATTTATAACACATTCTTACTTTATTTATCTTTCTATTTAACGAATTTTTCCCATTAATCGTTCTTTCCTGTTGCCACTTATTTTTAATATTTAATTTAATAATGCAACCATAGATTCTATCAGAACAAACCTACTTCCATTAGCATTAAACACAATATGTTCCTATAGGTCGTGTCACATTAGGCATCCGTTATCCCTTACAGTGGAAATGGTCAATCTATTTTACCTTTTCCTATCCCTCGTCCACTTATGCATATAACGAGAAAAACCAAAACTGTGCGTTGAGTAACATTTTTGCATAAAGAACATCAAAGTGAACGTAGAGGAATGAATAAAACACATTTCATTAAAAAAGCTTGTCTGCAACATGTACATTGTAACTGGTCTAAAAGAACCCTTGCTTTCAAGCTCATGCAAATTATTTGATTAATTTTTTAGGTAACTACAGGCGGTTTAATAACCAGAAAGTCGGAACTAACTTAAAGACGCTCCTTGGGGTTGGGGGGCGCAATTTGGGCAACACGCCCTTCGCGCAGATTGTTTCCACGGCGGAGAGTCGCAGGCGATTCATAACCCATGCCGTGGAGTTCCTCACTTCTCGAGGTTTCGATGGTCTCAGTTTGGAGTGGAATTACCCAGGCTCCGTGGCAGCAGACGACAAAGAAAAATTCGCCACTTGGGTAAAGGTATGATCGTCTAAAACAAATAAAATCTTTCAGGAAGTGGTGCCTTTTGAAATGGCATAACTTCCTTAATAGTGGGAAACTTTGCCCTTTGCTTATTAAAATAATTATTTATTGTGTTTTTATCAAGTCCCTCCCTACAAAACACTGAAAATAGAAAACACATTATAATCGTTTCTTTAAGAATAAACAATAATGATCAAATTAAGTAATTAAAGAAAAAAAGTTTAATGTTTCATTAGTTTTAACTCTTCGTTTTAATGGGAACTTCTTCGTATATGTATGACAACACATGCACGTACCATCAAAATGTAATGGTAAAAACGTGATATGCTTAAAACTCTATCGTCATATTTAACCACAGTTGAACTTATTTCAGGAAATTAAATCTGAATTTGAGAGACATGCTTTACTGCTCTCAATAGCCATCCTAGGCGACCAACAGATCATTAGCAAGGCGTATAACCTACCAGAGCTTAGCAAGTACGTACGGGGCAGTCAAGCTGCGAGAAATTTCATTTCACTAAATTATTTCTACAAAACCCAAGTTTCATCATAATAAGCATGTTCTTTTATTATGCAGATGTGTTTATTAGAGTTTATCAAAACAAATATTTAGACACCAGGGTTATTTATTACATCAGACTATTGTGTCAGTATGTTGAATCACTTTGTCGTTTTTCAACTCTTACAATCGCTCGCTCTCATTTTTTGATTTATCCAAGTCAGCCGTCACACTCTTTATTCATCTTGAGGGCCTGTCCTTATATATGAATACATACGAATACCAAGGGTAATGAACTCAGCTGCCGCTACTTCAAAACTGCCTTTTGAATTTTTATCAAAATAAATGGTGGCCTCTAAATGATATATTTTCCTTAACAGGTAAATAATATTGTTTCGATAAACAATTATTTTGATAATTCCTAATATCATTTTGAACATCCATTTTATGGATGACTCATCCAGGGCTGACATGATATGGTAGTTTTCACAACGTAGGTATATCGACTTTGCCACTGTTATGGCCTTTGACTTCGCCAGTGGCAGCGAGAAGACGATCAGGCACCACAGTCCGCTGTATGGGCTGAAGGGGCCGGCAGACACCACAGACACTGCCTCTCAGGTGAACGTCACAATCTTGTTTCATCAATTCTGATTTATTCGTTTATAATGTCAAATGTTATTTGAGCAATGAATGAACCCTGTATATCTCTAGTATTTCCATAAAAGAAATGAATATATTTCTTATCATTTAACCTCATATGTTTAATCGTCGCATGTTTACATAGAATACATTTATATCAAGTGCATTAGTTTAACTGTTTTATTTGCACATGCCTATATGCCAAACCATATTGGCCCTTTGTCGGATTAGCTTTTAAGTGTATGTCATTAACTGATTATTCGACAAGTTGCTGTTTCACCATGATTAATCTTTTTCTTTTATATTGTAAATGCGTCAGACTAGATTCATTTTAAGTTCCATCCTCATAATATTACTGGCAAGGAAGGTACCGAAATATTAGATCGTAAATTTGACTGTAAAGTTTGCACAAATCTGTGTATCTGGTAAACTGATATCATTTCCCTCCATATCAGCATTGGCTTGTACAACACCTCATCAAGGATGGCCTGGACCGATCACGTATAGTCCCTGTGCTGCCAGCTTTTGGGGTAGGGTATACTCTTGCGTCCCCGGACAACATTGCGTTCGGGTCAGCTGCGTACAAACCTGGGACAGCCGGGGCGTCTGGAGCGGGGGATCAAGTACTATTGTACCACGAGGTAAAAAAAATTGTCCAGTTAATGACACAGGCTTAGTGAGTGTTTTGTTTAGTTGAATAGTAATACATGTGATAGAAAGACGTGTGTTCTTATATTCCCACAAGTTAGTGCAAAGGCAGACAGTCATGAATTTCACTGTTCTTTGTGAAAAATACCCAACAGCAAGTAACCTAAAACAGATTCACCACTGATATTGGTATTAAGCTAAGTATTAAAAAGAACAGCGAGGAAAAAAGTTTTCAAAATGTTTGTGAATACATATTCCTTACTTTTATATTTAGATATGCAACAAAGTTACAAGTCCAGGCACTAGCTGGAAGAGGGCATGGAGTGACCTATCTAAAGCTCCAGTGGTTTACAACAACGAAAGCTGGCAATGGTACAGCTATGATGACGAGTACAGTGTGGCTTATAAGGTGAGATTTTTATCCCATTTTTTCAAATATTGTCTTGGGTGATATGTGCAAGTTGAGTATTTTCGGAAAGTTATACTAATGTTCATTTCTATGAAGAAGTGGTGTTCTTTAAATCAGCACTTCTAATCGATATATATTTTTTTTAATTCACTATACCGGGAAATGTGTTTATTTGTCAATCACCTGTGTCATACTGTATTTGCAGACGAAGTACGCCAAAGACCAGCGTCTCGGCGGCATAGGTGTATGGTCAATTGACGAAGACGATTTCCAGTCCTCTTGCGGGCCCAGGTCCTTCCCCCTCATCAGGCATATTCAAGACGTCGTCTCAGGCACAGCGCGTGCCACCACTCCTTCTTACCCACGGTTGCCGGCCCCACAGACGGCCACGCCAGCACCAACTCCCCCTGATGGCGGGGGACAGCGACCATCACCAACACCGCCACAAACCCCGCCTGCTCCGGTTTCCACTGAAGTGCCTGTCCCTAGCAGTGCACCATGTGATGATAAACCAGCAGTTCGGCGAAATCCTTCTCAATACCGTCGTGTGTGTTACTATACCAACTGGAGTCAGTACAGGAGTGGAGTAGGAAAGTTTTTACCCTCGCATATAGACCCTTCCCTCTGCAGTCATGTTATCTTTGCGTTTGCCAGACTGGAGAGGGGACTACTTGTGCCCGCGGAGTGGAATGATTTAGGCACTGCATGGAACAGAGGTGAGGTTTTTCGTGGTCTGATTAGTACCCCTAGTTTCACTGATGGTGTGTCTTAAATTCTAACGGCTGACCTAAGACCGGCGGTCACAGCAAACAAAGGGTGTTCTTAAGATGTTTAAAAAACGACCAAATATATTTTTTGTTTTAGCTGCAGTATTATTATAATTCTTGAATTTTTTTGATACTTAATGTATTCGTGTAATCTGTTCAAAATAAAATCGAACCTAAATGGCAAAAATTATCATGACAAACAATATTTTAATTAGATAAGTGAAAGTTTTGAATATAAGTTTTTTTACTAATGTTCAACCTTACAGGATTATATGACCAGATGAGGGACATTAAATCGAAAAACAAAAAACTCAAAATCCTGCTGGCTGTGGGAGGTTGGGTTCTGGGAGTAGAGCCTTTTACAGAGATGGTGGCGACCTCTGCGAGCAGGGCGACCTTCATAATCCACGCCATAAACTTCATCCGTGAGCACGGGTTTGATGGTCTTGACATTGACTGGGAGTGGCCTGCACAAAGAGACAGTCCGGCCATCGACCGAGTCCGGTTTACGTATCTTCTGCAGGTGAATTACACGTTAGTACTAGTACTATATTTATAATCAAACCCTACAAACAGTAAACCATTAGAAGACAAGAATACTTTTACACATAAAATACAGGAGCTATATACGCACCAAACTTAGAAATACCTACCGCAATGACTTTTTCGGGTAATCTTTCAAACTTCATTAGTGCTTTGAACTTGTACTTGCCCTTAGCAAAATATCAGGTCTGCCGCAAACTCTCGCAAATTTGTTATTTATTTGCTGCAAATTTGCAAGAAGTTTGCAGCAAATTTGCTGCAATATTGTTGCAATATTGGTGCAAAGTTTCCATTTTGCTAATGGTAGTTTTGAACTTATATTTAGCTTAACATCCAAAGACAATAATCCCTTAAATTGCATTTCAGTTATTGTTTTACGGTTTTACGGTTCTCTGAACGGAAAAAAAAGACCCAGTAACATTTTTCGTAACAAAGTCTTTTTTCCCCTATTACAAAATGCATTTAACTCAATGTGTGCAGCTTGTCGCTGGACGTGCGGTCGACAGGGTGATGGTCAGTAAATAATAAATACATTAAATAAAGCTCAGGTTTCGTTATATTACAACGATTTTAGGAACTCCGCGCTGCCATAGAAAAGGATGCCTCGTCGACAAACCGCACTAAGCTTCTCCTGTCGGCGGCAGTGGCACAGAATGTCAAAGTTATAGACACTGGTTACGAGGCATGCCATATCCATAAGTAAGCTGGTGTCAGATTACCTATCACGTTGTCTTAAAGGGCATTTGATTTGGTAATCGTTTTACATTAGATCTCAGATATATAGTTTACAGTCTGTGTAACAGTATTGTGCCCTTTCACTTCCTAACCAGAACTTTGTTTGTCTTTATCCAGCACTTAGTATTTAACCCTTAATAATATTTTGCATTGATTGGCAATGGTTAGCTTTATTTCAACCTATTGTTTCAGATACGTGGATTTTCTATCGGTGATTGGTTTTGACTTCTACAGTTCAGAGGGCTCTGTACTGGGTATTAACAGCCCACTGTATCACACCTGTGCTGAGCAATATACAGAATGGGGACTGGAGAGGAACATGGTAAAACAACCAAAAGCGGTCGAGAATGAGATAATTTACCTTTAAATCGTCGAGTGTTTTTGAAATGTTAACATGTGTGCGGGTAGTTTTTCAAATAATAACAATAGTAATAATGATAAATGATAAGACGGAGAAATAAAAAAATTGAAAGAGATGAGGAAAAATGCTAATAACTTAAAGTCAAATAACTTCATATATTTTTTGCTGATATTGCAGTACTTCATCATCAACTATTGGCTGAAACAGGGGATTCCGAGACATAAACTTGTTGTAGGCATGGGCATGTTTGGCCATACCTTTCGCCTGGCGAGCCCAACCCTAACCGAGCCTACAGACCCCAGTGGGGGACGTGGTATCAGTGGAACGTACACGAACGAACCTGGATTTATTGCTTATTACGAGGTGCCATATTCCTGCAACGATGTTTTTCGACCACACTTTTGAAACACACTTTATTTCATTTGTTTCATGCATTACTTTAATAGATATATAACCACGAGCTTTTATGTGATAAACTCAAAAGGGGCTGTACAACTCATAAAGCCAAAAATATCATAAAAATAAATGCATCCCCCTGGCACTGCTTCATATGCAGTACAAATTACGGTTTTAACTATAGCTATTACAAAGTGCAATTGAAGAGCTGCATGATATTTTGTATTTATTTTGTTATTTAGGTTTGCAAGAAAATCCTTGATGAGAACTGGGTAACCAAATGGAGTGAGGAGCAAGCAGCACCTTACGCCTACAGTGTCTCTTCCATGGGCTGGGTCAGCTATGATAACGTCACTAGCATTCAGTTGAAGGTATGGCTTTACCCAATGATATGTTCGATTAACTGAATCGTGTAGTAATAATTTGATAAAAATGAAAATTTTGATTTTTCGCCAAAAGCTCAATGTTTACTGACATGTGGCGTTATATCTGTTGGCGCTCAGTTTCGAAGTCTGCGGAGAGTGCACTACTCACTTATTTTTAGTAAGGCAAACTGACGACTCACCCTTTAAACCTTCACACGATGAATAACATTGTTGCTGGATTCATGTTTTAAGATGAGCCCACTTTTTGTTTATCAATTAAACGAGAGTAAACTCAAATAGGTATCTAAAAAATAAACAGAGAAATTTTCCCCTCAAAAATGGGATCACCCACACCCCTGTCTGTTTTCAGGCAAAATACATCATAGACCAAAAACTCGGCGGGGCAATGATCTGGTCATTAGATCTGGACGACTTCACAGGTCAAAACTGTGGGCAGGGGAAATATCCTTTGCTATCAGCCATAAACCAAGTATTTAGGAGGCCCCAAAGGTTTCCATCTTTTAAACTTCCTAAACGCTGCCCGGCTACTACAACTACAACTACAACAACAGCGGCACCTGTTGAACCTTTTGTTACCTCCTCTGAAACTGGACCAGTGATTCCAATTCCGTTACCAGCACCAGAAGGTAAATCTACTGACAATAAACCATTTCTGTAATTTTTGATAATTACCTTCAATAATGTTATAAAATCATTCTTACAAGACTAAAATCCTGAAACAGACTCATCTCCAAACAGGCGTGAATCTGATTTTTTCTTACTCAAGCACGATTAATTTCTAAAATACTCAGTACATGCACCTCATTGCTTACTTTTTCAAAATACTTTTGCTTAAATTAGTGGTACCTGTATTGGCTTTTGTGCATAAGATGAATGGGTAACTATACGAACGATAATTAGAGAAGAATTTACCTCTAATCATTCCTCTTTATTATTCAGACGTTGCTTTCTGCAAGGGAAAATCATTCGGAAGCTACCCTGACCCTGAAGACTGTAAGTTTTTCTACGCCTGCCTCGGGGCCGTTCAGCAGAGAATAGGTTGTGAAGGAAACCAGTACTTCAACCCAGACCGAGGCACGTGCGACGACGCGGGTGACAACTGGGACGGCACCTGCCCTCCTTCCCGTCCGACCCAAACTACGACTAAACGTGTGAGGGTCACGGCTCCTCCAGTAAGAACGAGGGGCACAACCCGAAGACCAAAACCAACGAGAATTCGGACAACTGCTCCACGCCTGCAGACTACAACGAACCCACCTACTGGTATGTATGGACTCCCTTCTTACAGTGATTCAAAACGATTTCAATTTTTTTTTAATTGATAGAGGTCAATTCAATAAATTATTGATACCATCAAAAAGGATAATTTGGGGAAATTAACAATAATGTAATTTGTCAAACACCATAGACGCAGATTAATAAGTCTTCTTTTTAATCTTACTTGATCACTTTCAGCCTATCCATTTACGTGTAGCGGAAAACGAGCTGGAAGCCATCCAGATCCGTTTGACTGTAGTGGATACTACAGATGTCTTGGTGGCGGAAGGCTACAGCATAATAAATGCAGAGGGGTTCTTCATTTCAATCCAAAAACGAAAGCTTGTGACTGGCCGAGAAATATTAAACCACCATGTACTCCGGCAGTTATGGTGACGCACCCTCCCACCACGCCCGGGAGTACAGTTCGTACTAGGGCGCCATCTACACCTTGGAGACGACCGACCACGAGGCGACGCATTGTGACTACGCGTAGGCGAACTTTAACCCCCCCTCAGCCAACAACGACCCAGGAACCGCCAACAGGTACAGCATGGGACTGTGCTTTATCTTTTGTCATATTGCATTTTGATATCTGATGTATGCATATGATGATGGTAGTGTAACATAAACAACTTAACCATAAAATAAGAAACAATGCAAAACAGTGTAATAATCAAATGGCAATATTTTTCATACTTGAAGAAACATTTTAATGAAGAGATCTAATTGTTTGATCAGCAAAAGATCAGTATAAATATAGCCTATTGGGCGTACATAACAAATGATGCAAATAATAATAGAAAATAAATAAAGGGGTAACCCGGTTAATTATTTGTGTTGGGGTAAGAACTTTGTTTTAAGTCAAATTATTGAAATATAAAAGGTTTGTTTTAGGCTAGTAACATTTAAAATTTATCAGAATTTTTTTTGAATGGATGGAAAAGGTAAATATGACGTTAAAGTAAAATGTTTCGCGACATTACCCTTCATCAGTTATCGTTTAGTTAACCAGCCAAACAAAAGTATTTCCGTTCATTCCAGCGTATCCATTTTCGTGTTCTGGAAAGCAATTAGGCAGTCATGCTGATCCATATGACTGTGGCAAGTTCTACACTTGCCTTGGTGGCCTCAGAATGCAGCGGCAACAGTGTCTTGGTGGCCTTCATTTTAACCCTAAGACAGGATTCTGTGACTGGGCGTTCAATATAAGACCACCGTGCGTGACAGCAATAATGGTCACGTACCCGCCAACTACGCCCGGCCCCACGCGAGCAACGACACCGAAACCGGTGCGAATAAGACCTACTCCTAAGTCTCTGGGCGGTAGGCGCACAACAGCAAGGCCAGTGTATGGAGTGCAGACTACATTAACCACTCCAATTAGACCTACAGGTAAGCCCGTTCAGTGTGACGCTTTTTGATATGATTTTGAATTAATAGCAATAAATCGAACAGGATATGCAAGAACTATATCTTGCCTTTGTATGCACTTACGTTCAATTTCTTAAATTGCTTTTCTGTAGTTTCAAGACATCACCATTGGTTTGAAAAACCTTTTCAGCTTATCCATTTACATGCGATGGCAAAGCAACAGGGCGGTATGCAGATCCATTTGACTGCAAGTCGTTCTACATCTGCGTCTTCCAAACTATGAAAAAATATCTATGTCGCGGTAACCTGATCTTCAACCCCGAGACCCGTGCATGCGATTGGCCACAAAACACCAACTGTGTCCCTGCGATCATGGTGACCTTGCCGCCAACGGAAGCCAATAAGGTGACCAAAAAGTACGTTTCATCAACCCCAAGGGAGAAAGTAACCTTTTATAAACCAATCCAGCAAAGAACTACGACTAAGGTTGAGCAGACTACGCCTGTCACGACGGTCCAACCTACAGGTAAGCATTTGGCATCAAGATTGCAGACATTGCTTTGAAATGGAGCCTACACGGAAATTGATAGTTTTGTAAAACTAAACGATCACTTTTTTGTTTTTTAAAACTCAGTAATACCTTACTAATTTACTGTTTGTACGACAAATGCATTCTAATTTCCTTTTTCGTTGGACTGCAACTTTTTTTGTTGGATTAGTAAATTAATAAATATTATTGGATTGAATCAAAGCATACATGATCAATGTTATCTTGGTTTCAATGTTTATACATAGAGTCAAAATACACAAACAATAAAGTTAATGCTCTCTCGCGACTTTTTCATTTCCAGCATACCCCTTTACCTGCGTAGGGAAGACAACGGGTTATTATCCAGATCCATTCGATTGCGAATCTTTCTACTTCTGTATCGGGTCATCACAGAGACACATGAAATGTCGAACCCCCTTAAAGTTCAATAAGGACAATGGTGCCTGCGATTGGGCTTTTAAAGTCAACTGCGTAGAGGCTAAACTGGTCCCGAGGCCCACTACGGACGCGCCCCCAAGTACCCGAGCAGCTAGCAGCGCGGCAGCAACGACGACACGGCCTTATAGAGAAGGAAAAATAACGGTTACTAAGCCGACCATGCCATACCCAAGTGTTACCGAAACAACAATGACAAGACCAACAGGTAAATACAGTGATTTGTCAAAAGATAAAGTTACAGTATTAGATGAAACAAAATGGAACACCATCTTATCTTTTCTTTGATTAAATAGTAATATGCTTTTGCTTGTTTTAGACTTACTCATACATAAATGCATTGGATTCGCAGATTGTTTTTTGAAGACTGTCAGTACACAGATGTCAAATAAAAAAGGTTTAACATGATGCTTTGTGTGACATTCTTCTCGAATCATTAACACGATTTTTTTCAAACTTTTTAGCTTATCCTTTCACCTGCCAAGGTAAACCCTCAGGACGCCACGCAGATCCTTTCGACTGCGCTTCGTTCTATCTCTGTCTGTTTGGCAGCGCTCGGCACTTGTCATGTGGCAGGGGTTTGGTTTTCAGCCCAAAGAATCAATCTTGTGACTGGCCAGATAGGGTGAAATGCACGCCAGCTGTTTTGGTCACTCGTCCTCCAACGACGACACATCGACCAGTGGAAAGTCAAGGTCCAGTTCGCCAAACCACGAACGGACCTCGGACCGGTGCGGTTATCCCCACGAAGGACTTAACAAAAACAACAACACCAGAGCAATCGACGGAATCGACCAGGCCGAAAGTCACCGGTTAGTACATGTGGATTGAGTTGTTAAGTAAATGTTCAAAAGTAATTTTGCTTCAATCTGTCTTTACGTTTTTCAATATGTAAAAGACAACCTAATTGATTATAGGTAAATACATATATTTGAATTATCCCCACTATGTGTTATATCAATTTTTTTATGTTTCCCGTCAGCCAAAACAAAATCAGTGTAAATGATATGCATAGGACATATATGAATTTGGATAATTTCAGCATACCCGTTTACATGTGAAGGAAAGAGAAACGGACGCTTCGCCGATCCCTTTGATTGTTCTATGTACTACCTCTGTATTGGTGGCAAAGGACGTCACCTTCAGTGCATGGGGAACCTTAAGTTTAACCGCGAGATCGGTTCATGCGATTGGCATTTTAATGCCAAGTGCACCGAAGCCGAAATGGTCACCCATCCATACTCTAGCTCAAGCCCCGTGGCAGGCGTGACAATGTCTTCGCAGAAACCACAACGGAAGACCTCCACTAAACGGCAGCAACCAGCCTGGACAGAACGCCAGAAAACCACCACAAAACCAACGCTTGGTCCACGGCCTACAGGTGAGTGGTTCCTCTTACATGTGGCTAATCTTTATGATATTATTATTTATACCAGATTTTTTGCTACAAAACCGTAATGACTGCTGAATATGCCAATATAGAATGGTTTCTTTACCTTGTCAAGTATGGCGTGAGGAGGGTTATTGTTGCTTTAACTATGCCATAACTGGAAATAGATGAGAACTACACAATAAATGTCAGTATTGAGTAACCCAGTGGTAACTGCATGTATTTTATGTGGTATTTGAAACTTTGCATACGACTTTCTCGTTCATGAATCAAAATGTAATTCACCGCAGTGTTCCTAAGATATTGCTCAAGCAATCCTTAACTTTGTTTTCAGCATACCCCTTCACCTGTAAAGGCAAAAGTATTGGTCACTATGCAGATCCCTTCAACTGCAGATCGTATTACCTGTGCCTATCGGGTGGACAGCGCAGACACATCACTTGCATTAAACCGCTCATTTTCAACCCTAACAACAAGGCGTGCGACTGGGAGTTCAACTACAGATGTATACCAGCTATTGAGGTGTCGCCACCCACAACTGAGGAGCCTGAAACCACCAAGCCAGTGACAACAACGTCAGTGAAGAAAGAAAAAGAAACAACGCTGCGTTTGTCAACTACTGCCCAGACGGAGGCCACTTTTGCATCACAACCAACAGGTATTGTTAAGGTTGTGCCTGCTCTCAATAGATTAATAAATAAAATAAGTTAATTATTAAAAAATCATGTTCTTTAGTCTCCCTTCCTTGATATACGTGGCAAAGTTACCGTTTTAGTTTTTTTCCGCAAGTAGAAGTTTGGAATGTGGTTCAAAGAACACTTTGCTTTATGTTCCAGCGGAAGCATTCACTTGTGAAGGCAAAGACGATTTGGCAAGATATCGCGATCCGTTTGACTGTTCAGCGTACTATTTCTGCGTTCGTGGAGTAGGAAGACGCATTCGCTGTATGAAACCTTTGCATTATAACGAAGCAAAGCTTGCATGTGACTGGCCGCGCTACGTGAACTGTGTACCTGCAGTTTTGGCGAAACAAATATCAACAACAGACGGTAGAAGACCAAAGACGACTTTAGGATCAACAACACAAGAACCAACGATAACGTTGAAATCAACTGTAGTGCGAACAACGTTACAAAGCACAGTGAAAGCACCGACGCCCACTATAGTAACAACCATGTCGAGGACAACAACGCCCGTACAGCCTGTATTATCAACGTCCGAGTCAACGACATCAGCAGTCACGAAAATAGGGTCAGTAACATCAGCATCGACGACAGCAGTCATGACAGCGTCAATAGCACCAGAACCAACAAAAGAGGCCACAGCATCAGCATCAGTAAAATCACAACCAACAATAAAAAAGACCTCAGCAACAACATCAGAATCATCAACTTCAACGGTCACAACAATAGAGTCAGCACCGACAACAACAGTCACAACAGCGTCAATAACACCAGAACTAACAAAAGCGGCCTCAACAGCAGCATCAGTAAAGTCACAACTGAAAACAACATCGACCTCAACAACAACATCAGAATCAGCGACTTCAGCGGCCCCAACAACAGCGTCACCGGCATTTGAAGGCACATCAGAGGCCACAACAACAGTGTCAAAAACTACAGCAGCCAAAACATCCCCAACAACGTCAGCACCAACAACAACAGCGTCCACAACAACAGTTTCAACAACATCAGCGTCCACAACAACAGCAGCAGTAACATCACAATCAACAAGAGAAGCAACCTCAACAACGTCAGAATTAAAAACGCCAGAACCCACAACCACAGTGTCAGAACCAACGACGCCAATGGCCACGACAGCGTCAATAACAACACAAACGACAACAGCGACCTCAACAACAATAAAACCAACGTCGTCGCCGGCTACAACATCGTCAACAACATTAGAACCTACGACAGTAGCAGTCACAGCTACATCAAACCCAACGACGGCAGCAGACTCATCTTCAGCGTCCACGAAAACTATCAAACAGTCTGTAACACCGCCGGTACCACAGGCAACATTCCCAAGTACATCTAAGGCAACAGGTAGGTCACTGTATAACCTAACCAGCATATTCCTTCAATACATATCTTCTTGGGGAATCAGAAACAAAGTCCTCAGTAAGTTAAAGGCAGACGATGTTTTATGCATTTAGTAAACTGATTGACTTTTACTTCTGTTACGATACGAATATTTCCACATTCAAGTGCCATATTTCTATATATAAAATTAATGAACAATGTTTTTTTTTTTTTTTTTTTTTAGATCGACCTTTTCAATGTGGAAACAACATCGGCATTTTCGCCGATCCTGCCGACTGTTCCATGTTTTACTTGTGCACTGGAAAAGCTAGGCGTCACGTCAGGTGTTTTGGTGGACTTTTGTTTGACCCCGATACCAAGGCTTGTGACCGTCCATCAAAAGTCGACTGCAAGAATTAAATTGTTCTTCGTGTTTGAAACAGTTGATATTCACTTACGGTCCCTAGAGTGACTTGGGCCCGTTTTGAAACAATGCCACACCGAGGCAAGATATTTTTAGGCCAGGAGAATTAAAATTTTGCCGTACTCGGCTGGAAATCACTAGTAAGCTATCTACCCACCTTTTTCTTATAAAACATGAAAAGAGCCCCAACTGGCATTTTTGTACAACTGGACCATTTCAAATTAAAAAATACATTTAGACCAAAAGTTTTGCAACTATTATATATTTCTGCCAGAATACCATTTAAGTTCTCAATACATGCACTAGAGGGCGATTAGAACAAACTCATGATGCTGTGTACTAAAATCAAATTTATTGAAAGAATGTAACCATGTGCTTTGGTTGAACTAAATTTCCTCTTTAATCATGAATAATTCTATGAGAAGCATACTGAGCTCATGCATTTCAAGCAAAATATGACAGCGATATATATCACAGATTCAGAAGAAAGCAGAAGAAAAACATGCATATCTGTACAAGTGATAGAGTACATGTGTTGTTCAATTTTAGAATTACAAATGGTAACAAAAATACCCTGGTTGCGAGATTTTTTGACTGAGATCACATCTATATCCAAAAAGTGACTTTTTGTATCATACAGCATTACATTAAAATTGATATTGTGTCAAATCATGTTATCCATAATCAATGTTGTCTATACTGCAGATCAAGCTCATTGCAGGCAGAATAAACACAGCACCAACTTTAGATGGTCCAGCTGCCTGAACCTCTGGGACGGCTTTTTTCATAATGGGAATAAACAGTTAACCTACACAAACCATTTCAAGACGTGTAAGTGTTTAAATAGTTAAATATATAAATAGACAAAGTGACAAGTACTTGAAGGAAAAATCACTGTAATTTAAATCTAACATGGAAATGAAACCTTGTGTCCTTGATCTATACTACTTGACAAATGGTCGGTTAAGCTACATTCAAAATAATATATATATAATACACATATTATATACACATATTTTCAAACAATAATTCACAAGTTAAATCTGAGCATTTCACTTTCCATCAAGGTTTACTCAAAAACAATATTACATAATATATCAAACCTGGTGACATACAGTAAGCTAGTGGTTAAAGTAAAATTGAAAATGCAAAAGTTATGGTTGATATTTACATAAAAAATTACTTTTTAGCTTGTCTGAATTTTGATAGGTGTGTTAAATAGCCTTTTACCAGAGCCAAAACAGGAATTTACACCTGTCATGATGATCAATGACTGTTTTCTCTCATCTTTGCCATCCAGTCCTGTTTAAGGAGTTCACAGATTTGGAGCGAGATTTTGCCCTAGAACAATATAAACACATGATCAAATTTCACCTTTACAATCAAATTTATTTAGAACTATGATGTATGGCCAACAGATAACACTATAATATACTAACAAAATGCAATAAACGTCAGTCTATAAAGAAACTTGATAATGTGATTGCCATATAAAATCCATAATACATCAAAACAATAAGAGAGAATAATACCACAATGCTACACTATCGACACTGACAATTCATTAATTAGGCCAGAAAGAACTGTTAAGTTTTTTCATCTAGCATATGCAACTCTAATCTTGAAATCAATTTACAACTGAACCCCCCCAACCATTTTTGCTCTAAAATTGCCAGCACTATGGATTTGACAATATCTCTCCTGTAATCAACTTATCAATTTAGTCTGGCCCTCTACTGTAATGATCAATAAGTTCTCATAGCTAAGCATCATGCAGTTTGAACTTACAGACTTCTCACTGGCCCTGCTCTGGTGTCCTCCCTACTGCCACGTCTACCTGATGATGTGTCCACATCTGCTGGGGAACTGTTCTCTTTTGATGACCAAGATCTGGAGATAACAGCACGTCATGTAATACAAATAGTATCAAAACAACTGCATTTTAACTATTGCTACAATAGTAATTCATTGTAGTGCAGCAGCAATATCATTTAGCTAAAATTTTTTAATTAGGGGGTTTGCAAATTAAAAACATTTAAATTAAGGTACTATAAATGAGTTATATGTCCATACATTGTCAGGGCACAAACTGAAAACTCACCTTTTGTGGTGTCTACGTTTATAAGCAGCAGAAGCAGTCAGCTGCATATATTTTGGCACTGGTCTTGATACACTTGCTGACTTATCCAACATGGATGGGAGTCCCATCTTCTGCAGGGCTGCCATGTTTTTCATTGAAACACTGGACATAACAGGTTCCCCTATTTGTTGCTGGGATGTTGGTTTTCCTCCTAGACCATCAGACTTGGCAAATGTCATACGTCTGTCATTCCTGATTTAGAAATGATTCAGAAATAAAAGGCAGCTTTGTTTACAATAATACAGCTGTTTAGCAGATATATTTCACATCTAACAAATAAATATGATATCATGTCAAATTTTCATCAGTTGTAAGTATGCACATGTTTCTTTTACATAATCTACATGTACAAACAGGAAATGGAAAAAAGACATGCGGAGAAATGTAAAGTTACAAGATAGACTTTAATGAAATTAATTTAATTTTAATGATAAATGCAACATAACAATGCTCCAGATTTGCATTACAGAGATTTAATGAAGTCTTAATGGGATCATATAATTAAGTGAGAAAATAAATAAATTAATAGACCAGGTCATGTCTCTGATGAAGCCAACTTACTTAGACTGGCTGCTTTCTAGACTTGGTCCTGATTTTGGTGTCCCCAGTCTCTGTGGTGTGTTGGTCAAGGGAGACAAAGGTGCTCTGTGGGCCTGAAATACAGCAGATCTTGCTGGTGACTTCACAGCATCTGCAAATGACATTTTACCTAGAAACGAAATAGAAAAAAAAAATTAAAATGAAGCAGAATTATAGAAAATGTATAAAGGACATTAGGGAAAATATGGAATACAGTGATGAAAAATGAATATAATTGAAGGAACAGGATTAATTTCAGCACATAATGATAAAACATATCAAGTACATTACAAGGGATCACCTAGCTTCTTTGGCACTTACATTTTCTTATTAATAAATTGAAAAAAATAAGTAAATAAATAATAAAAACAAAATACTAACCCACAGGACTTCCAATGTTGTGTCCTTCAAACTGCATAGCTCTAACGACATGACTTTTTGGCTTCCTCTCACACTTCTCCCCAAGTTCACTTTCTTCAGCAACAACCACACTGCCGGACTGTGATTTAGTGATAGTCTGAGACTGAACTTGATGACCCTGTGACTGGAAGTGGAGATCTGATGGGGGTGGTGTATGAACACGGTTCTGGTTCCTTAAAGTATCTGTCTTAGTGATGCTGTTGCTGCAGTTACTTTTTGGAGCAACTGCTTGTGCATTCTGCCCTATGTGTACTGGGGCCATAGCTTTGTTTTCTACAGTTGCTTCTGCAAATACTACAGTGGGCTGTTGCGAAGATATTGTGGCTGTTACAGTTGCTTGAAGCTGAGTACATTCTTCTACAGGTAGGCTAAAGGTCTCATTCAGACAGTGCTCTTCTTTGGTGCTCACTACATCATTGGAAACTATACTGGACTTTAGAGTTACAGTTTGCCCAGGACTTTGTTCAGCTTGGTCTGGCACTGGAAAGCAACCTTGTGTGAGATCTGTCTGTGACTTGGTGCGGTATAGACCCTCTGCATGGCTGGAGTCAGACTGGGGTGCTGCCACCGTCACCTGGGATCCATGGTTTGGAGTATGCACTGGTGTGTTAATACCTAATATAATTTAAAACCAGATGTATTTATTTCAAAGCAATGTGATGGTCTCACCTATTTTTATCTTTTTTAGAAGAACAAATGACAGAGTGATAATAAATTGTTCTGTTTGCGTTATTTTTTTTGAAAAAGAACAATCCACACCTCACCTTTTTTCACTGACAGAGGTGTCTTTGATGGAGTGACCACACCAGATTTCCTTCTTGGTTTATGACATGTGATGGCTGCAATTCAGACAGTATATAACCTTACACCCGGAGGACAGAAAAACCAAATAACACCAATAAGAAAAAAAAAAAAAAAAAAAAAAAAGAAAAAAGGCACCCCCCTCCAAAGGAAAAAAAGTTATTATAATAATAATTTTTTTAAAGTAAGATAAAAGTATTTCTACCCCTGAATCATATGCTGTTGCTGTTCTTGGGCCACAACTTAAATGCTATATAATCACTATGTTACAATTTTGATTATGTTCTATTTAAATTGCGAGTAGAAAGATGAATGCAAAATATACAACAATGAAGTTAGGCTCATTGTTCATACTCACGCGAAGATGCAGCAAAGCTGAGCACAGGAAAACTCAACAGTTTATCAAAACTGAAGTCACTTTCATGTCTTCCCTCCCTGGTCTCAGAAGAACCCATACTTTGGTCAGCCCACACCACCTCCCTGTCTCCTGTCTCAGCTAGTTCTAGTATACCATCAAACTCTGCCTCTATATCTGACGTGGCCAGGTTGTGCCCCTTCAGTATGAGATACTGTTTTTTGAAGGCAGTCAGTAACGCAGACATTAACCTGGTTCAAGGTAAAAAACATGCACACAATGAAGGCTATTTAAATTTGAGACAGCAAGATAACTTGAATCAGAATGGTCTGTGTAGTGTAAATGAATTTCTGCAGATGGTTTCTATGACTACACCTGCTGTGAGTATATTAAAGGGCATGCTCTATTTTGCAAATCTTAACACATAAAAGAAAATTTGAAAAGCAAAACTAAAATTTCATTTCAGCTACCTGTCACTCGCCTGTGCCTCTCTCTCCATGTTCCTGGCAATCTTTCTTAGGCACTTCACATGTCTCTTGGTGTCCCTCAACTCCAAGTCCAAATGCCATATTGACAGATGAGATGACAGCATCTGAAACACACACTTCCACACATGTAAATGGAAAGATATAACATTTTGTATAAACATGGCAGTATTTATTTACTGACAGTGTTTTTATAAGAATGCAACATGCCCCCTGTCCTGATGACTAGTAACACTTTTGTAAAACAAGCCAAATATATATTTTTTTCCATTTTTTTTGTTCCATTTATGAATATATACATTAACGAAGCATCACTGATCATTTCTCCACAGTCAGAACATGGTATCTATGTCAATTATGGACCCGTCTTCTCTCTTTTTCTTTTGCGTGAATCTCCCAGAGGAGAAGGAGGCTGAGAAACTACCTTATTCTTACCTCTGGCATGACCCCATCTCTGCCACAAGCTTTCATCTCTTCTTCCAGACGCTGAAGACAGGATACATTCTCCTGCATCTTTTCTTCAGAGTGACCAAGCCGTGTACGAAGACTGGTCTGTCGCGACTTGGCTGCATCTATTGTCCTTTGAATTCTGGAGCATGCCTAGAAAATATATGACAAAAAAAATTATGAAAAAAATTAAAACATATTTATGTTTAAGAGCAATGATGAGGAACCAAACTGGACAGCCTTGAGGAATAAAAATCAAAGTAAAAAAAAAATACAAATACAACAAATGTTCTGCAAAGACAACTACAAAACCCCACAATTTATTTTATTTCACACTGAAATGTGTCAACTTGAAGGTGATTTTTTTACATATGCAATTATACACAATAAACACACCTGTTCATATCTCTGTCCATCTAGTGCAATGTTTGCCAGTCTTGCCAAAGCTTTCTCTTTCTTGTATATCTTCAGATCAAGATCCCTGTCTGCACATTCATACTCAAGGATTTCCTTCCTTATGCTTTGCCGAGATTTGAACACGTTGTACAACTGACTATCAAGCCTTTTGAAAATAACAAACAGATGAATACATAAATAAACTAAATGCTGACAATAATTCAGTCCTCTTTTATACAGCTGTCGAGTACCATGAAGTAGCATAATAAAAAAAAAAACTAAAACTATGCCTTGCAGATACCCGACATTTCAATAATGAAGGATTCTGAGATATGCTACCTGGATGGAAAGACTGATTTAAGTATGTTTGCTATAGCTTAACTTTTTTTTTTTTAAATCTGTCAGTTTATAAAAAGAATTTCTCAACATTTTATTCCAAGAGTTACCTCTCAATGTTATCTTGGAAAGCAGTATCCACTGCTGCTTTCTTAGCTGGAGGTTCTACACTTCCTTCTTCATAATTTTTCAACTTTTCTTTCAACTCAGCAACCTGCAATAAAATATTTCACATTCATTTGTAAAACCTTGTAAAGGTCTACTTAAATATGTTACATAGTTTTGTCTGTAAAGTTTTTTCACCCTTTTCACTCTCTTTATTTTTCCTTTTTTTTTTTTTTTTGTTGTGGCAGTTATGCTTCCAACTGTCAAGATGACATCAGCAAAAGGTCCAATTTCATTTCCCAAAAGGCTAGTAAGGTTTAAATGTTTATACAATACTTTTTTGACCCAAAAATAAGAAAGTTAAACCAACAGTGTTCATACTATTCACCTCTTGAATTTTAACAGCTACTTACTTCTTTTCGTAGATCCTCACATATTTGTGCATACTTGCTAATATGGAAATCCACACTAACAACGTTTCTCTTTAACTGAAATATAACACAAATTGAGAAAGAAGTTATGTATACGTGTGCTTTGCTGTACTTAAAAAAAGTCATAATTGGAATTTAAAAAAAACTACAAATGAAAACTTCTTATGAAAAAACTACTTGCTTCTGAATAAGTGTAAACATAACTAAAGCGTACACATGCATGCATACCACATGGATGTACCACACTTCATCAGCAATATGACATGTTACAAGAAAGAACAGAATATGCATCACACATGAAAAAATATAGCAACTCCATCTGAATACTTACTGAAGCCTTAATGTTTTTGGCTCTGTTTGCATATTTCAAGGTGTTATGGGTGTCATCATATGTCATAGCAGAAGGGCTAAAAACAGAAACAAATTGCATACAACAATTAATCGAACAATTTATCTTAAAAGATCTGAAACAAGCACTGTAATTTGAAAATGGGCAACATCAATACATTTTAATGTCAAGAAATATTGACATCAATACATTTTAAAAAATATTAAAATATTAGTTTTCAATTTTTTTTTTGATTAGCAGTATCACAGTAGGATGATTGGCAGTTATTTGTAAATTGTTAAAAATGCTAAAAAAAAGACAAATACTTTTTTTAAATCCAGTCCCTTCTACTAAGAATTGGAATTCAATATACTAGTACTTGGTTTGGGGAAAGCATACCAATAATAAGGAAAGTAAACTATGTTGAAAAAAATGAAAGCAACTATTACTTTTATGTTTAAATATGCAAGTAAGAAAGAGCTTCACCTCACTGCAGCGATCATGACAGTTCTGCAGTTTCCACCAAGTGAATCTTTCAACAAACGTGTCAACTTGCTATTCCTGTATGGAACATGCTGACCCTTGACCTGACAGTAAAATAACTAATATCAGATCTAAAAAAAAACGACTATACCATAAGTGACGATTATTTGCATATGACAAGTATATTTAAAAACATATTTAAAGCATCATTAATTCAGACAAAAAAAAAAATAAATAAATAAACAAAAGGAGATAAAATAACATTAATTATAAACCTAATTTAAGAATATGTTTACTATTTTAACAATCTCAATACCTACCTTCCCATCAGCCAGTGCATTGATACAGTTGCCAAGTGCAAGGAGAGACCTATTGATATTTGCCCCTTCCCTAAATCTGGCCCCTCTGTTAGTGGTCACTGTGGCCCTCTCTGATCCTGCCAGGTCAATCAGTGACATTTTGGCCACTCTGAAATCTGTTGAGATGTTGGCCGTTCTGTCCTTCTGTCTTACAAATACCTAAAATTTGTAATTTAAGGGACTTCACTCACAGTCCAGTCATCTGAATTACATTTTGTACAGTATTCAATGAGACTTAGGCTAATGAACCACATCGCTTCTGTAAGTGAATACCGAGTACTGATATCATTATTAAATGGTTGTTTCAAAAATTCACAAAGAATAATTTTCAATAAATGAATCACAAAAAAACTATGTCTCACCTGGAATACAGCATGTGATCTGGAGGACTCTGCATTAGCATCTGTGGGATGCTGTGTTCTATTCTGATTACCAAAGTCCAACATATACATCAACTCATCTGCAGTCTTTGGCTAGATAAGGAAAGTTAACAATTTTTTCATTCCTTTCCTCTATCAAAATTAGAACATTTTGTTAATTTTCCTAAATTGACTTCATTGCAATTTCTAGTGGCATTAATGTTTTTTTATGAAAACAAATGACTGGATTGCTATTCAACTTTTATTGCTGTTTCATTGTCAAACGAAAATATCAAAAAGTGCTTAAATAGTAAATGTTGATAGACTACTGATAAAACTATATATATAAAACAACCTGAATTAACTGCTACAAACCATACCTTGTGCAGAGACAACCCTGCCACTACTACTCCTTTTGCTGGATCTTCTCTGATGGGGAGTGGGTTGGACGGCATGAGTAAGTCACGGATCTGCTCATTATACACCTTCAATGAAATCATAGACCTTCAATAAAATCACGTATACTTTTCAAAATGTACTACACTCTTTTAAGTTCAACTAAATATGTAGGCTGAGATATCAAATAATTTTTGGTGTTAAATTCCATATCAGAAATACAATATGTGTATGTCACTAAAAAACATCAGTGCCGTCATCAGTAAAGATAAAAAGAGGTGAACTAACAACACCCAACTTTCTCCCATGAATAACACCCGACTGTTTTCCCCCTCCAAATGTGAAGGGGAAATGGACGATATACCTATTGAAAACATACCTCCAAGTAAGAAACAGCCACATCACATATCTTCTCTTCCTTCATCAGTTCTATTCTCCTGTACAGCTCCATCATAGTAAGGAAGATTACTCCAGGGCTGCTTGGACTGCCAAGCATACTGAAGGTTTTACCTGCCCCAGTGGCTCCATAGGCAAACACTAACATAAAAATTATACATTTACCATGTTTTCACACATGTATTTGAAACTATTTTAGGAGATCATGGAGACAGAAGAAAAGCTTTTCACAAACTAGTACAAGATTATGGCACTGGATGATAAATGTAATTTCAGACTTGTTCAATGTTCTCAATTTCAGTACATACAAACCATAACTAATCAAGCCCAGTTTTTTTTCTGGTTTCTTACACAGAGCTGTCATTTACAAGCATGTTTTTCATTTTGCATAAAAATGCACTTTTGAACAGTGATAGTTATTTAATAAAACTCATATCAAACCAAAAATAAACCCTTTTGAACACATCAGTTAGCACTATACAAAATCATGAGAATATGTAGGCTACAAAGAACTTGAGGTAAAGCCTGAATTGTTGAGTGAGATGTTATTCTGTGTATTCTAGCATATGACAATCAAATATATACCTGAACAATTATAACCATCCATGAATCCATCCAAAATCTTCATCGTGGTGTTCTCATAGACTTCTTGGTTTGTGGCATATTCACTGAATACCCTGTCAAAGGCATACCTCATATCTTTATTTTGTCTTTTCATGATATCTCGCCTCTTTCTCCTTTTTCCATGGTAATAATCAGGAGATCCATGGTCTTCTTTTGGGTCAAAAACCAACACCTGTTCGTCCATGACTCGTACTATATTATTGTAACCTCCATCTCTCTCCTTGGCATTTTCTGGTCTCACTCGGACAACAACCTTAACATTACTGTTAATCGCCTGCTCTTCAGTCATGCCCTGCTCCCCACCCATGTTGGCACCAGAAACAGAGCTGAATGGACGTTTGCGATTTGGATGTTGCGCCATGCTATTGCTGAAGAACAAAAAAAAAAACATTTTTTTATAGAACAACTTCTCTTGTAGCAAATGGGATAACTACTGGGTGTTACAGCTAAAAAATAGCAATTTTGCTGCAAACTCGTGTATTCTCATAACATATACAAGTAAGTTTAAGAAAAAACAAACTGACTTCAGAAATGCATCACTACCAACTACCCATTCTAATACAACTTTGCAAAGCAAAGAATAATCTTATTAATCAATGTGCATAGGGTTCACTAGAATTTAAAATTACACCATAGATAAGACCCAAATAAGAGTGCCCGAGTCAGAAAACATGCTAGTAGTCGACTAGATCTTCAAGGCGGTTAGTCGTAAGTACATTATTATTTTGCAGAGAGATCAATTCTGGCATTTTGTCTCTTTTACACATAGCATAGTACACATAAAAATATGTGTAATGAATATCTACATATAT